GTAAAAAAATCAAAGATTCTCGAGGGTTTTGCAAGGTTTGGGGATCCAGAGTCTGCTGGAATCCAAAAAACAAACAACAAAGCCATTGAAACAAAAACATTGAACAAAAACAAACAATACCAACAATACCAAAAAGGCAAAAAAAAGAACAAAAAAATAACAAACAATAATCATAAAATAATCATACTTCAATTCAAAGAAAAACTTGAAACCATAAAACAAAACAAAAAAAACAAAGAAACATCATACTCCCAAATCAAATCATAAATCAAATCATATCTGGATTTAAAAAAAAACAAAGAAAAACCAAAAACAAATAAAATCCAAGAATCTTGAAGCTAGCTAACTTTCGAAGTTACTAGGGTACAGAGTACTGGATCACATTGGTTGAGTTATGCAGGGACCAAAGCATCAGCAAAGTCCCGGGAAATTACCGAATGGCCTTCACGCAGGCAATTGGAACTCACTTCAGCTTATTCGTGAAACTCAGCCACATTTTGCGGTGTGAAGAGGGCTTAGTTGTCACGAAAGGTAGCTTGAACTACCTGAGTTCTCCTTGCTTTAGCAAAAATGCATTACAATCAGGAGTTTGCATTGTGCATTGAGTTTGGTCCTGTAAGAAATGATTCTGTTCGTCGGGGGGGGCCCCCACCTGGATCAAATCCCCCCAGCGCCGGTTCACGCCGTCATGGACTTCTACCAGGGTTACTTGTGATTGCCTGCTACCTTTCGTTCACCCCCTCCTCTCTCAAGTTCTATATGTTTTATTTTGTTCTTAAACATCCACAAAATGATTGCTGCCTTCTCCAGTGTTTTACACTTGGCTGAGAACGCATTGTTGGGTGGCTTAAAGGCCCAGTGGGCCACGTTTAGGTGCACGGCCACGGCACGCGCCGGGTCGCCGGCACGCGCACAAGTGATGCCACGGCCATAGGCCGCGTCTTTGACTACTGTACACAATCATGATTCTTTGTTTCCCACACTTTTCACTTATCAAACTTATCAGTGTGGTTCCTGGGTTGACCCATGATATTTTTCTATACAATCATCACCAACATCGGACTCTCTATAGATCTCCAAATTGCAAGTTCAACCACCAGTCAGGAACTCTGATTGAACAGCTGTGTGGATCCGTGCTCATCGTTTGGTTGGGGCGAAATGACACACCATGGGTTTGGTTGGTCCACCTTCCTGTCGTCCATTGATCGTTCTTGTTTCATTCAGACTTCACACATATTTATTTTTTATTGACTGTATATATTTGCATTTGTTTCCTCATGCTTTAACTATAGATCTGCGAACCCCTGAACTCTGCCAAGATCGCCAGCGCGGCGGGCCTTTCTCCGTGCCGAGTCGTTGCTGTGAGATCTTCGTTGAAGAGCTCATTCGGCCAACCTCCCAACCAACGGTCCCAGCTCTTCCGATCCTCTCGGACGACAAGACCAGACCACACCGGTTCGCGAACAGCCGCATGCGGTGATTCCAAACGCAGACGCCAAACGAGGCTGTTGGTCCCCTCCACCCGGCTCGCCGGGCCCGGCCCAGATCGGATTTTGAGCTCCATTTTGGGCGGCTGGCTGGGGGCGCGGGCGCCCGGGACGCCTGAAGTCGGGTACACGGTGAAACCGGCGGTTGAGAGCTGAAACCGGGCAAAGCAGGAGCACGTAAACATGGTAAACTAAGTGAAGGTTGACGCATGAAGCTAGAACCCAGACACGACCTTTGTTTTTGATAGGCCGTTTGGGCCATATGCTGTGTATGTTTGTGTCGTTGGTGGTCCTAAAAATAGAGGTCACTCAGGCTTCCTTGTGGGGTTGGCTCACTTGACTTTGGCTTTTCGAGCATAGTGCATTTGTTTCCACTCATTTTCTTGTGGATGACGAGGTGGATGTTTGACTATGTCACCAGAACAAACGCCAACAGCTGGTTGTGGGGCGACGTCCTGGGAGCTCGTTGTGGCCGGTAGCGAGTGGTTTCGCTGTTTGAGGGAGTAACTCAATGGAGCGGCGATGTTCCAATTGAGACTATTTAAACGTATTTTCAAGACAGCCAGACTTTCGATATGCAGACATGATCAGGCATGCTGAGCTGCTGGTATCCAACCGACCTTGCAGCCCCTTGCTCAAGCTTGTTGCAATCACTGTTGGCGAGAGTCCTAACCGCTACTGCTCGAGAGATGTTCCCACCCAGCGCTTCCAAGGGTGTTCACTGGACACGTGTAAGGTTTGTCCATTGCTGACCCGTTTGGGAGCTGCTGGCAGGGTGGTTGTTTTGTTGGTGAAGCTTTGACCTAACTTGCAAAGTGGTGCAGTTGTTGCTTTGCCGCAAGCCCTTATATAAGCTTTCGGCTACCGGTGTTTGGCCAGAAGCCTGCTGGTTTGCCGGTTTGCCTCCCTGATGCTTGGAACAGAGTGGGTCTCCGCAAGGTCTTCGCAAGGTGTTTCATTGTATTCTGAGAGAACTGGAGAAATTAAGGGTTTCTTGTCGAGTTTCCTCAATCCGCTGCGTGCCACATAATATGTTCCTATATATGAGTATATGAGCGTATTGCGAATGGATGTTGGGTTTTAATCGGCCTCAAGAAAGCCTCTTCATTCTTGGCTCGCTGGTGAAAACTACCATTTTGCGTATCCTCAACTGCGTATGGGTGGCAATGGTTTTGATGGCCGTGCTTGGTTTGGAGGGCGCACATGTTTCAACATGGAAATGCGGAAATGGAAGCAGATCTCGCATGGAGCTTCGAATCTCAGTTGAACGGTGGATGGACAATTCGTTGACGGCACAAATGATCACCCTGACCCTGGCCCTCAAGAGGAGAAAGAAGAGGGCATCAGTATGCATCAATCGAAGTTCAGCAGAGAGATGCTCAGCTCATGTGCCTTTGTTTGGAACCACAGATAATTGGTGACCAAGACCAACTGCAATGGTCTCCTGGGCAATTCGATTCTGCTTTGATGGAGCAGCCATGGAAGTGCGGGCTACGCAACCCCGGTGACTGGTTGACCACTGCTTTTCATGGCAAACTGGAGGAATATGATGAGTTAAAACATCCTGAACACTTGAACGGCACCGTGCTCATGATTCTACTCATCATAGGCTTCATGCTTTGGAACCTTGAGAAATAGGGAGTAATAGCTAGACAACCTGCACACGACGTTCAAATCCCGATGATGCGGCGACCACCGAGATCTACACCCTTCGTCTGCGATGGTCAATCGGTCGGTCGATCCTCCGGTGCCTGCTCGGTCGCAGGTGAAGAAGCCTGGCTTGCAGGCGAGACATGGCCGAAGGGTTCAACTGCCAAGGTGTCAGAGCCGAAATGAACCACTGGAGTCATTGAAGGCGGCCCAAGGCGACCCACTGACAGGTTTTGAGGAACAACGGTTGTTTCGGTGGGTGATTGTGAGGGCAATTCTTGCCTTTGGCGGGCAGTGTGAGAATGGAGTCCTGGGGCCTTGTGGCTGGCGATTTGCCCACCCTGCTTTGGGCACCAACATTGGTGAACATGTGAAGAATGTCCAGCAAGCAAGACCAGACTCTTCATTGTTTGTCGCCACCACTGAAGGCTTCTCGCGACATCGTTCGGTTGCAGAGTTTCGCTAAAGATGGCAAAGTTCGGTTGCTGCATCGTTCGGTTGCTATTTTTCAGAAGGTAATGTGAGGCTTAGTTAATTCAAGTACTGTCGAAGGAATAATTTTGAAGTATCGTAGGAAGTCAGGGGGCTGCAGATTAGGAGAAAGGTATTCTGATCTCGGACGCTTTTTCCTTCAAGAGCTATCAGTCTTTCTTCTCCAAGTTCCCAGTCCAAGCGGTTTCGATCGGGTCGACCCTTCTGAAGTGCGCCCTTCCGTTCCGCACGCGCGTGTTTGTACAACTTCTCGATGTTCCTCGGCGTTCGACCATCGGGTCCCGCGACGATCGACGTCTCCACCAGGACTTGGCGGGGAACATCGTCTCCGCCAGTGTGCGGAGACTCGGAGCACGCCGAGCCGGGGCCGGAGCCGGCGCGGGTGCCGCGTGGGTCCATGCCTCAACACTGGTAAGGCGACAGGCGACGGCCCGGCCGCGTTTGAGGCCTCTCTTCCAGGCCATAGATGCCACTTCCATGTGGAGTGCTGGTTTGAGGGGGTAGATCCAAATTCAGACTGTCGGATCCCGGTGACGAGTTCGTGTTTGCGTTGGAGGCCCGGTCAGTGAACCCGAAACAACATCAAGCAACGGCCCGCTGCGAGTGGGTCGCAGGTCCGCAGGTCCCTCTACTCCCTGCATGATACTTCCTTGGATTGCTGGAATCAAAGTTGAGACCCCTTCAAACACCTTCCATCATGTTCCATCAGCATCCTCCCATAGATCATCAAAGAACTATCATACACTTACAAGTCTCCAGTGGACCGACATAAGCGGATCGTGCAGGCAGATTGATAGTAGTAGTTTATGCAAATCTTTGTGCGTCCAAGGATTCACCCAAAAGGCTCAAATTGATCATGGCCAGGTCGCTGCACGGTAGTGTGGGGTAGTCCCGCCAGGACACCAGGGTCCTGGTATGGATGGGTGCTATGGACTTCAGTGATGGGTGCTATGGACTGAATGGTGATGGGGTGCGTTGGGACCCAACCTTGATGAACAGAACCAGAACTCGCTTGGGAGGTGTGGCACGAGTCCCCGGGCCCCGTTTGGTTCACCGTTGGTGAAGCTCGTGAACCAATGCGTAGATTCAAAGAAAGGCCCACCGACTATAGTTACTATATACTATAGTTCACAGATCCTGCTCTGCAGTAATCTTCAAGGTATGATTTCTCCTTGGAACTGTTTTCTTGATTTCGAAGTGCATTGCATCATTTGGCCGAGATCTTCAACCTGAAGTCGGTCACATTGACCATTTCTTCAGGCCCAGGCAGGGCGTTCCGAGCCCTGCCAGGGTCCGGACCTCGCAGCTGAGGTGGAGATGTTCTTCCGCATCATCGCCGACCTCCTCCCAACGCCTGTGAAATGTCGCCCGCTGCAATGGCGCCGCTTCGGTTGGGGCTTCGTTGGGCGCGGGCGGATCACACCGTTACAGGGATTCCGAAAAGGTCACATGGCCTATTCTGACCACTCGCAGGTGTGACCCTGAACTCCCTTCAAACCTTGTGTTGGTGTTTATAAACTCTTATTTGTATGTCAATGATTTGTTTGTTTAATGTCTTAATTATAGATATCTTATATAGTATTGTTTGTTTTGCCTTGTTTGACAATTGTTTATCATTGTCCAAAGTTGTTCCAATTATATTTTAGCTTTGCCGTGATTATAATTAATAATATCATAGATGTTAACAACAAAACACACAGTTTACATTAAAATACAAAATCTACACGACAAAAGCATCACAGTCTAGAAGCTTATAAACGCATATAAATGGTTTGAAGGAAGTACTGTATGGGGTCACATGTGAAGGGGTCACAGTGCACACCTGCACACCCCTTAAATATTTGGGAACACGGCAAACATGAATCCCAAAATTAGATAGCTGTCAAGTATTGAAATGTGTTCTACCCCGTTGAAACAGGGTTTAGCGGAGTTTGACAAGCTTCCGGCGTCCTATCCCTGAAATCTTTTTGGGGGGGTTCTTTGCTGTAAGTGTTGTCTCACCACTGCAGCCCGTTTCTAAGCTCCTCAAATCCTTTCGGCATTTGTGCACTGTCTCACCTAAGGGGTCCGTTTTCCCATGGCAGGGGTCACTTGTGTTCGTTTGCCATTCTCCTGGCGTGTGTCCAATGACCTGTGACAGTCGGTAAACGAATATCACATTTTGTTTAAGATCTTTGAGAATGGTCTTTACTGACCATGATATACTGAGCCATGTCCGGTTTTGAGACCTGGTCGCCTCGTCCGAGGTCACTATACCTTCAATTTGTGCCTGGGCTGATGTGGATGTCGTCACTGACAGGGGTCTTTGGTCCCTGGTGCAGGGGTTGTGAAACAAATTGAGCTGAGCTGACCGACTTCTTGTGCTCCGCAATCTTCAAAAATTATGTTTGGATACTCAAAGAAGTGCTCCATAGGCACCCAAGAACTTGGCGACAACACCAATTTAGAGGGTTGGCTGCTAGTTAGACACACCTTGAGGCTTCGCTGCGTTCCATCAGGCGGCGCTCTTTCAATGTTTTCCAACGGCTTTCTGAGTCAGACGCCGGACTTCCGCAGGCGTGATCCGGCGAAGATGCTGCAGGTGAGGACGTCCGGTGAAATGTGCCAATACGAAGTGGATCGCTGGCCAGTTGTCGAGTTGAACCAGTATGAAATGATCTACCAAGGATAGATGTTGTATTCAAAACCGAACGAAAAGATATGAAAAGATCATGTTCCCATTGATCTTGGAGATCATTCAATTCTTTTCAACTTCAGGATGTCGACGATTGTATCCGCACCATTGATTGGTGACCGCAGGATGCCGGGTTGGTTCTTCGGAACTCCTTTTGGGCACTTCTTTTGGGTTCGCCTCGTGTCGCTTTGGTTTTGCCGCAAGTGTAGCAGCGACCTGTTTTTGGGGTCGGGCATTGGTATGGTTTCCCACTTAAAGGCGACAGGTGGAATTAAGAGTCAGTCCCCGGATGCTCCACGGATGCCCGAAGTGCTCAGGGAGTCCGTCCGAACCCGAACGAAACACCGGTCCGGGCTTCGCCCGAAGCGGATCACCGGGTGACCTCGGTGACCACGGTGACCATGGTCGTCTTGGGCAGCAGTTGTTGTCCGGGACTCGTTGTGGTTGTGGTTGTGGTTGTGGTTGTACATGCCGTTGTCGTTGTTGTTTTTCTCTTTGGACCAGGCGCCCTGTGTGGAAAGGCAGACCTTTGTGGTTTTTTGTTGGGGAGGAAAAAAAACACATACTTTGGTGTTTCGTGACTCCAAAAATGGGGGTTCCGTTTTACACTCCGACTCATCATGGAACCGGAAACGGGGCACTGCGAAGACACAAATTGCCTCTACAAAAAGGGGGGCGGGGTCAACTTCCACTTTAGTAAGCTGGAGGAGTAGCTGGAGGGTATCCCTTATGTAACAGTATATAGGATCAATTCCCTCGGCGTTTCTATGTGTTGTGGCCTCGTCTCGGATTTCGTCTCGGTGACCCGCAAGCCACCTGAAATATACCTAGAGGCAGTCCATTTGGTTTTGGCGTACTTTCAGTTGTTCTACCGGACAGCCTAAGTGAAGAAATGTTCCATCGGTCCGAATGTGAATCCCCTCGGTTGGCGAGACATGCCATCTCCATGTTAAGTGTCTCGCTCCCTGTGAACAAGTTCTGCTGATGGACAGATTATCCACAGAGAGAAACACTGATTACACAGACGCAAGGATTTTAACATGTGTATAAATGTTCTTGCATGTTTGATGCTAGATTGCTAGACATCCAGTCACACATGAGATACACATGAGATGTCCATTCAGGGAAGTTGTTCATGAACGGCATCCGCATCACCAGATTCGTTATTTTGTTGCTGTTAATTAATGGATTGTTAGCTTCCACTGAAAGCCTGCGGGTCTTAGATGGTTCTGATTGGAAGAACACACCGTCAGCTCACGTCTGATTGCTACCCCTCCGTCAGCTCACGCAGGGCATGCTGATGGTCCACGTGCGAACGGAGCTTTCAGATGAGCCGAGCCTCATCAGGCGGAGATAAGCCCGGTGTCGGCGAACCGAAAACCGAACCGAGAAAGCCGGTGTTCTGGATCCCCGCTGATGGTGCTGATGGTGCCAGGGTGACCTCAGAGAATTGGTGTTGAGCCACCTGAGTTTCTGCCAGGGTGAGTGGGGAATCCTGAGGCGGGGGACGCGGCACCCAGACAAAAGCCTTCTCCGAATGTGAATCAGCCGCTTTGGTTCCACCAACTAGCAGCTTTGAGACACTGAAAAGTCCTACTACCCAGACGACCCTGCTAAGTAGGGGCCGAACCCTCATATGGAGGGGTCCAGACCCTCAAATCCCTATGGTTTTGAGGGACCAAGGCCCGTTTGGAGCGTTTGGGTATGGGCATGTTGCAGAACTTTTTCTCCCTGGAGCCCAATCATTCACCGAGTCGATCGAATTAGACACCTCCTTGTTGGAGTCATAAGGAAGACTGTCTTCCAAATGGATCATCATCACATCATATGGCATTCACTTATCATGTGAGTGGACATGTACATCAAAGTACATCCTGGTGACCCTGGACCCACCCCGGAAGACCGTTGGCAGATCACCAGCCATCAACAGTCACAGAAATGCTATGTTTGAGAGCCAATTGCATATCCCCAAATGGTCCTCTCCTGATTTTCGGATGGATATCATCCCTCCAACTAATATTAATATATATATATATAAATATTATATATATGGAAAACACATCAAGTGGCGCAAGTGGTCACCCCGCTTCTTTGTGGAGGCAAATCGTTTTCCAAAGGAGCCATGTTATGTTCGTTGGATAGAGGATAGAGGAGCTAGTTGGCTCACTCTTCTGTACTGATGAGCTTCCCTACAACAACCCCAAACACGTGTCTCCCGCCACGTACGGCGTACGGCGTAATGTTTCTGTTCTGCGGGTTCGTCGGCGCCACTCTGTATGGTTCTTCGCTCGGTTCGTCTGACCTGCGAGGCTTTGGGTCCATGAGACATGTCGACAATTCCGAGATCGCTTGGTCAACAAGGAGGACGCTCGTGAACATGCGATGGGGGGGGCTGTTTACAGGCTGGTCTGGGATTGGGGTGTGGGATTCATGGAGCCTTCCAAAGAAGGCTCCAAGCTATTCAAAGGTCAGCCTTCAAGCATGGGAGATTCTCTTGGGTTCTCTTGGAATGTGCTCAACAAGGCCTGAGGTATCTACAGGTATTTGCTAACATCTAACCCCACTCCTTTCCCAGCCCCCAGTTGAACTGTTTGAACGCATCCAATTGTCCAAGAAAGCCTTCCGCCTAGACCCACCTAGACCGCGTGCGTCACCTGGTCTTCATGCGTTGGGTCGTCACCGGCGCCAGCTTCCGCTAGCGTCGCCGACTTGCTGATGAAGCTATTCCGTATGACTTACCAGTTCTGTTCTGTGAATATATGTTGATGAAGCGAACTTCTTGGACTTGCCACTTTTGAAGTAAAGGACAACACCATGTGTGTCGTGTGTGTATATATGTATATAATATATATACATAAAGAAACTCTCCACTGAAAATGAGAGTGACGGGAGGCAAGAAACGACCCCTAGGTGTGTGGCTTACTCAGAGAAATTAGGCGATAAAACTAACAATTACGTGCAAAGTGTACTCATTTTGAGTTAGATCAAGTCACTAGCATGCATTTGATCCTGTCCAAATCCGGCTTTTCGGTACATCCAAGCCAAGGGCCACCCGCATCGTTGCACCCGCTATTTGCCACGCTCCATGGAAGTAGCAAAGTCAGTGGCCATTGCTGTCTTGCTGTGTTGCGTAAAAGCTGTGGCTCGCCACAGTGGTGAGGATGGCGGTGACGATGGCGGCGAAGAAGATGGTGGAAGCGATTCGTTTTCTTTTCATTTTCGTGGCGGAGTTGGACACCAACCTATAGGTTGCATTGGGTTCATTATTGCATGTGCCTTCCTTATTTGCTTTGGAGTGAAGAAGCTTCGCAGATACTGGCGCAAATACCGGCGGCATCATGCCGGGGTTTACGACTTGCGCAGCGAGGAGTTGATCATTCCTGGACCAGGAGGTCATGTGGTACTGAAGAGGGGTGCATCGGTGGCGTTGCTTTGGGAAGGCCACTACAGACGTGGTAGCTTCCAAGGGACGACACGTCATCGTTGCTTCTACCATCGTGCGGTCTTTCGCTTTGATGAGTCGCGCTTGCCCCAGGATCGCCCAATGGCTCTTGGTGAGATGTCGGCAGGGAACCTTTGTCATATTGCTCCGGTGGACTGGGTAGGATGCATGCCCGCTTCCCCGGAGGATCTCCGGAACGCGCGGCACGTGCCGTGGGTTCCGGCACGCGAAACGGCTCCTTTACCCGCACACACGCTGACTGAGCCACCGCAGCTACCTGCGACATCTCCTGCTGCTGCAGGTGTGCAGCTTTCACCAGCTGAGAATGTATAAATAGGCAATGAATCGCCGCACGTTTCATAGAACCACACGTCCATGCTGTTTGAACGTGTCTTGGAGAGAGTGACAAGAGACCACACAAGCACGGTTCAGGTGCTTCTCATACAGTCTTGAGATGTCTTGAGCGCATGTTGACAGTGCATGCCACAGATATCACCTTTTGGGTGAAGAAATTTAGGGTTGTTCTGGCTCCCAAACGTAAACAAAATGACAGCGGAGGTGAGAACCGAACCAAAGCCCCAATCCTTGGTAGGTTGACCTCCCTAGTAGTCTTTGGGTGGTCAACCAAGGTATCCAGGTTTTGACCCAACGCCACATAGACCTGTAAGATTCTTTGCAGCCTGACCTTGGCATCTTGCCATACACATGTTGCACACGCCAAGCCACTCTAGAGATCTCCGGATCTGGAGCCATACAATCTCAGCCCATGAGAGTTGCTTCGGACGAGGCCCATGGCATGTCCAACATTTTTGTGGCCCTGCAAGTGAGGCCATCATTGAGAGAACTTGATGAACTTCCGGGGGGGAAGCAATTCAAGTCTTAAACCAAGCTGTCTCAGATGGCATAGTTCTTCCATGGCCCATCTTTTGGAGCTTTCCCCATTCACCCGGCTGTACAGCGCGGTTCACTGGTCTCTCGGCGATATCGTGGACGCGAAAGATGTAGAAGATTGGCGAAGTGCTTTGCTCCATGGGACCAGGTTGAGCATTTTCTATCCCAAAGGCTCCATGGGACTGCCATATTTATCTACATTATCCTACATTCACCAATGAAACCACCGAAATGTATGCAAATATTCCATACATGGAGTGTCTGGGAAGGTGTGTTTCTTCCGTTTTTTTTTCCGACAGATCATTTAAGGTTCCTGTAGTACCCGAAAGATGGCGATCCTGGAGGAAACCGCTGGTGTGACGGACCTTACATGTGTTTCTGGTGATATATTTAATTTGGTGGCTTTGATTCTATGCCCGGATTGGGATATCAAAACACATGTTTTCTATCGGGGTGGTGAAAAAACAGTTTGCGGATCTTAGACTCATTTTTGGACAACCGTGTTACATGTGAATGGAACGCCACTGATGTTAGGGCATTCCCGGGACACTCTGGTACAAGCGTTCTCAAACGACCCCAAATGCGGACCCACATGATTTGTCGCCAAATTCACAGGTACCTGAGGGGGATTGGACAGTTATAGTCTCTAGGGGCTGCATGTTCTGTCCAGTTCAACAGTTCCTTGCGGTCGAAAGTGTGGCGTGTAAAATAAGTGGTTTTTAATGTTGCAATTTGTATGATTCCTTTTGTTTGAATAACGAAACCTATACCGGGTAGACCCGAATCTGGGTACAACGCAGACCCCAATTCCACCTATAGAACCCATTTGACCTTTGTGTTGGTAGAAAAAGACATGAAAAGACCATATGTTTGGTGGTGAATTCTTACGTCCCAGTAGAAAACGGCTTCTCACCAGGCTCCGCCCAGCACCCACTCAGTTGGACCGTGATGCCCAGTGTTGTTTTCTTTCGTTATGTCTTCTTGCTAGGACCGCTTATGGTTTGATACCTGCCTGGCCGCAGCTTGGCAGAAACGAGGATAGGGTAGGTGCCGCTTGGGGAGTCGTGGAGCGGGTCCATCGAAGACCAGGGCCACATCATGGTTGTTTGAGAAGCCTTCCTATTTGGAGAGTGAAGCGTCGTGAAGACCTTTGCAGACGGGTTCCCGAGTATATATATATATATGATTGCATTTGGCCTGAAGCACTGGGTTGCTGGTTCATGGGATGTTTCTTTCTACCCAGACAGGTTTTTTCCCGGGGGTGTCGCAGTGTCTCTTCATTGAGACCAGCCCAGATTTCTTGTAGGTGACCGAATCAAAACCGTGTTGTAGCAACTAACTGTTGATGGTTTGCACATGTTTGTTGAACACTCGTTTGTACCAACTAATTGTTTGCACTGTTTCGAAACACTGTTTTACTTCAGATTGTTTGGTTTGCACACTTCATGTGGATGCAAACAATCCGAACACCTCCGTCGGACCGGTGGTTGGCCTCCGCCGGCGCACCGCGGTGTGGAGAGAGGCGGAGACCGTGCCACGAAGCACCCGGACACGACCGCCGGACGTGGCATATTTGCCCTGTATACGGATGGTGTTCATGTTCGGGGTCAATGTATAGGCATATAGGTATTCCATGGTATTCCATATAACATGTTCTTGTGCTGGGACATGGTGCCAGGCTTTGATCTTTTGATTCCGATCTCCACACAGCTCTGAGGAGAACTTGGATCGGCATCTGCAGACCACTTGGCCGCCCGAAAGGTCACCATCCTGCGGAGGGAGCAGTCGAGTGCCGGACTCGGGGCGGTTTGGTGGATTTCTTAGGAGTTCCAAGGTCCTGGAGGCGTCACCAGGTCCTGGAGGCGTCATTCTTCCAGACTGGACACACCAACAGGAATGCAGATATGTTTGGTGGCTACCAACCCCCATGTTGATTCATTGTCGACTGACCACAATCAACGGTGTTCCTTCTTACCCCTCCACGCTTCCCTTTCGAACAACTCAATCTCCATAATTGAACAAATGTATTACCAAGTTCTAAGGAAGGATTGTTGAAAGGTTGGGGACATAATATCAAGGATTACCTAATTCGATGAGATGTGAGAATGGTGTTCGTTTCCATCTCCCAATATCCTCCCAGTAAACCAGTGATTCCCTTCTTAGACGTATACGTTGTAGGCAGCACATGTGTTTGTGCCTTTTCAGGGTCACTCTGCTGTAGAAAAAATCCTCCTACAGTGCGGATGTCTTAGACAGATGGGGTCCTTATAAACCATCAAACTTGCTGATTGTGCCATCTACTTTGAAGCCACTGGTTCACTTGGTTCCAGTTGCTTCACTGTTGTTTTTTTTCCCCTTTGCTGATTGCTCCGGTCAAACAGAGGATTGAAGTGTTCGTCACCAGTTTTGGAGGTCGATGTTGATGTTACTGGCAGCACCCGCTACTGGTTCAACAGTTCACGGATCAGATGCAAGCCACCAACGCGCCAACAACGCGTGCCAAGCGCCATGGAGCTTCCCTGGCCATCTCGTTTGCTTTTCGATCGAAAGCCAGAGGCGCGTTTTGGAATCCACAGGAAGAGATGCGACCAAATTCCTTTGCCCCCTGTGTTTCCAACACCCATTGTTTTGCATATGTTGGTTTGGATGTGTTTGATATGCCATACATATTATTTCGCAACCAATCCTTGTGATTGAATCGTGTTTAAATCTATGCTTTCCCAACCAGCGCTTGTTCTCATGAGTTTCAGAGTACAAAGCTAAGCATTGGAGGGCCGGGCTCCCCTCAATGATCGCATGCCGCAGCGATCTGACGCAATGAAGCAGTTCCAGACACGACCTGTTTGGGACTGGCTTGTTTGGATCGGATTTGCCTACATGAAAGGGTAGCTTTTTTGAGGTCAGTGTAGGCTGCCAGTCCCAGGTCCAGGTCGTGTGAGGGGTTGTTCGTTGGAGCCTGCAAACCGAGGCTGTCAACGTGTGGAGACGAGAAATCAACACAGACCCACCAGTTGATCGAACGTATGTACGCCGGCCGCCGGTATATGGAATCGTTTGGACACAAAAACAATGCCTCCCATGTGGAGACAAGTCCTTTATTCTGAACATTTCTGGAGTTTCTTGGACCATTTTTCTTGATTAATAATTACCTTTTTGATTTTGAGTGTGTTTGTATGTTGTCCTGACTGACTACCTTCTTCGCATGCAAGGTGGTTCAAACCTGCGAAGCACCTTGACTGCGAAGAGACATTCTTTTTCGGCTTCGCGGCTTCGCTCGGGCGTGGCGGGTCCAGGGCGATCTTCTGGGCGAGGTATATAGAAGCAATGGTGACAACCAATAGATCATCCTACTTGATCGAGGACGGCAGTCCACTGCTCTTAAAGACTTAGGGTCGTTCAAGTCCAACCAATTGATAGAAATGGTCTCGGTCTAATTCATGTCTCTTCCGCTCGAACCATTCGTGACCGAACCCGCGCTGCGTGATCCGCTTCCCTGGGCCTCGTCTCCGACTCGTCCAAGAACATGGATCCAAGAGTCCGAGGCCTTTCAACGAAGCCTGGAACTTGGTTGCCACCTGCACCGAGCGGTCCACTTCCCCGGCGGCCTTCGAAAGCGCCTGGAATTGGACACGGCGACCGCAGCTATTCGAGCGAGATCGAAGGTTGGGACTGCAGCTAGTTTGTCTGCACCGAAAGAGGATACCCTGCAAAAGTTTTGGGGAGAGAGCATTGGGGACACCAAATTGGTGGAATGGGTCAACCTATACCTAGCAAAGTTGAGAAGTCGACTGTACTTTTGGGTTTAGTTTCTGGGACAAATCCTTGCAAAGAGCCGCAGATATTGCAATTCGTGCCATTTGGATCAAACGTGCAGAAACTATTAATGGAATCCATTCTAAGAGAGCTGGTCCATCAAGTGTTGTTCCGTGGGCATGTTTGAATCCAACTCAATTAATGACAGCCAGAACGACATGGTGTTGCCTACTGCAGATGAGAAGTGAACAAATCATCGAAATGGGCTCAGTTTTGTCAAGAGAAAAGCGATCCAAACCGCCCCACAAAAAAGTGCGCGCATGTTCCGCCGAAAATAGTCACAAATTCAAGTCCACAAATTGGAATGTCTTAACTTGGGCATGTTTTGAAATGACCCATTGACAGACTTTGTGCAACGAAAGAGTGACGAAAAGTGGTTTGACTGACGCTCCGGAATGACTCAAAGACTGAACCCCAAACCCACGGAATGCAAAGGTTGGGAGGAACTGAGTTCGTGGACTAGTGGTCTGTGGTCTATGCTAATATATTCAATCACATTAAGCTGGCGACTTCAATCCATTGAGGAGTCGTCTTCCTATCCCAATTCTTGTAGAAGAACTTATGTTGACCATGATAGCTTCAGAACTGAACCAGGATCCACAAATTCTCTCAACAACAACTCGGATCTCATCGGCGGATCTCTCAATAGCCCAAAAGACATCAAAAGACTGTGTACATCACTAGACTATAGATCTATGATCTATACTAATATGACATCTATTGACTTATTTGATGTTCTTAAATAGTTACATCCGAATGCTTTACATCCGAATGCCCCCAGAGTGAGCTCATAGCGTACCCAGGCTCGGCTTGGAACCTGAATGGCCTCATCCGTGGCCTGGCGGAGAGAGACGACGTGGCTCAAAACGACGTGTCCCGTCTCCCAAAAAAAAGGCTCGGAGCAACCGAAAACCTTTGGAGCCTACTTGTTGTATCATGCTGTGTTTTGTTGGTTTGTTGTTGCTTTTGAAGGTACTTTACTTTAGGTCCCCAGGGAGAGTTCGTTGCTTCACTTGTGGAAAGGACATGGATTTAGCCGAAAGTCAATTCAATCTGGGGCGGTGTTTCTTGATGGGATTTGATTGCAATTGGCAGTGTCACCTTCTAAGTAGCTGGAAGGGTAGCCACTTGAATCACTTGAATAAGAGGTTTCTCTCAATAATATATTTGTGCATCCACTCGGAAAACATGCCAATCCTCAGATCCACCCTCACTTCATCCAAGGTGGCTGCTGGCTATGAAATCAGTATTTTTGGAAGCTTTTGTGATTACAAAAGGTCACACCTTGGTTTCTGGAGTGGTGCTCCCATGCTCTCACGTGTCAGATTTCTACCTCCCTCCTGCCGAGTAGTCAGGTGACTGCAAGGCGAGGTCTCTACCTCCGCCTTGGTGTCTTGACACGAAACCTGCTGAGGCTTCGTCACGCTGTAACATCGAGGTCCAGCGTCTTAGAGGTCTTGGATGCTCGGGAGTGCGGCGGACGGTTTCCCGTGGGGGAGGGTGGTTTCCCGGTGGTGGAAGGTTTCCCCAGTGGAGAACTTTTGAGATGTAGGTGTTCACCGAGTTGTACCTCTTCAACTGAACAACGTTGACATTTGCCAGGGAGTTCGTCAAGTGGTCAAGGACCCTCTACTAGTGGACTGTAGCCACCGTACCAACAGGTTACTGTAGTGATACACTGTAGTGGGTGTTGAGCTGCCGCCTGGGGACCATCTAAGCAGAAGGTGTTCTGGGGCAGGTTGCGGTGGCATTAAAACACATGGAACCTCAATGAAACTTATAGGAAATCCAACAAGTTGTGAATTCTAAGAGCAAAGTTGAACAAGAAAGCCTAACCTTCCAGTGAGGGCCACATAGTGAGCCACTGTCCCAATCCAACCCTAGAAACGGAACTGGAATGGTAAGAGAGAATATATCCAGAGGGCAGTATATCCACTATGGGAAAGGCATATTTTTAGTATATGTGAGTCATCAGCCAACTTTGGAGCCACTCTTGGGAATCAGTTTTCTTATGTTTCTTTGTTCATGTCCCTGCAAAAACCTTAGTTTATTTCTTTTAACCAGGCACCATGCAGTTCAGTTCATTTACCAGGAATGGGGGAAACTCGCACCATGCTCTTTTGACAGACGGTGTCCTCTACTTCTTCAACATCCAAACCTGCCAGCGATCTCGGACGCTCCCCCGCGCGGATGCGCGTTTGATGATGAGAGCAGATTGGAGCATGAGAGGATTCATCTTGATCTCCATGCATGGTCTTCCAAGATGAAGGGAGAGACATCTGTGTTGGAAGACATGTTCCTTGGAAGACCAGGTCTTCCTTCATCATGTGTTTTTCTTTTTTCTTCCAAGGACATCTTGGATCTGGAGAGTTTCCAGGGCAACCTCGAAGGCCAGGCGAAACTCGTTAGGAACTCGTCGGAACAAACGGAGTGAACTCCATGGTCCTCTTGAAACAGGTGGGTGGACTCCATGGTTCGTCCATGATTGAATGATTCTTCCCGGGAATGAAGGGCACCTCACTTGAAGGGCACCTCGCCCGTCTTGGAAGTCTTGGAGAGTCCTTCCGAGCATCAACAGGCGGTCCTTCTGAGCATCAAACTCACAGGTGGCTCACCACTCCTGTGTTGAGCCAGACAAATGCCTTCTAATTGAAACATGTTGAAACCTCGTGAAACTTCCAAAAGCAGTTGAGGGCTACTAGCCGAATGGCCGCACCATGCCGCACCATGCTCATCCGCCGCACCTTCCATCTCATGAAGCGAACACGTGCAGTTCCCATCGGTGGACGCGCACCCGTTGCGGAACGAGACGTGACGCCATGGATGCCAAAGAGGCCAGTGCCGGAGATCCTCGGCAGAAGTCCTTTCGATCCCTGTGAAAGATCAGCAGACAGTCAATGACCTGTCAGTAATCGCTTCCTGGACAACTAAGTGGCTGCACAAAGAAAGAAAACCACGGATTTCACACCATGTCTTTATACCAGCTTCTTCACTAAGTGACCTAAGTGACCGTCCCCCGAGTGATCTCTTCCAGGCCTGGTGACCTGAAAAAACCAGGGGACACAAAAGGTCACGTACTGAAGAGCCAGGTCCATGTTCTGCATGGTTTTGCAGATGGTCTGGCAGATGGTAATTGCCATGCCAGAAGTCACTTCCCACCTTCCCTACGAATGGTTGTGCCCTAAAAGCGCCGCTTTGGTCCACCCAGGCTCGCAATGGCTGGGTCTCCAAGGCCCTTTTGGCACCCCGACAGCAGCCAACTGATCTGCTAGATCACTTCAATGGTGATCGACGACTGTTCGCTCGGTCAGAGGTTAACCTTAGACATTGATTGTCGGATTGCTTTGAAGCTGTAGCCTTCCCAAACTTGAACCAATTTGGAGAAAGGTGATCTCCTAATTACTTCTAAGGCCTGTTTCGCAGACCCTGAAGGTTCCCACTCCAAGTGACTGGAAGATTGATCACAGACTGGGTGGAAGACGAAGAGGTCTTTTTTACGTGTAAATGAATCATGTGGATGCAGCGTTTGTTTGGGCAAGATGTTTTGGTGTGAGTGAAGCTCCTGTTTGTAGAGGAGAATGGTTTCCTTAAGGCCATGTTCATACTTGGTCCATCATTTGATATCAGTTCCAATGTCCAGGTTTGTTGCAGGTGGGTCAGTATATAGTGTGAGTGTGGGTGATTCCGGGCCGGCCCCTTCTGGTAGAGGGTTTCATGACGAGGCTAGTGATCAAATAGACCAACCTCGCTTTGCCAAACCCCGGACACTGAGGATTTCGCCACCGGCCCAAACCAAGACCTTTGTGGTGCAACAGCTATGGAATCCTAAACACCTCAGCAAGAAAACCACAAGATATAGAACCAGAACGGGGGTTCTTGACACTTATCAGGAACTACGTTCACTAACCAACTGCACAGGTGAAAACGTGCCTCTTCGGCTTTGTCGCTGCCTCCCTGGCCCTTTTCTCCACGACCGCTTCCTCGCCACTGCCGGACGTCACCGATGGCGGTGCGCGGCGCTTGGGCGCAGCCGGATTGGCACCATTGTGCCCTGGTGCTGCAGCCGGAGCCGGGTTGGGCCCAGTGGAGGGCAAAGCAACACCCAGGGCAAGTGCAGGGGTTCGATGTCGCGCTGGAGCAAAACAGGCTTTCGGGGATTGAAAGTCGCTGGCTGAAAGCATCAAACACGACCATGTACCTTCTCATGTCCCGAATTTGTATTTTTTGAGATCTCACCCTTCGACCATCAGATCAACTTCCCTTCAGGTTCATTCTTGCAGTCAACTTACAGAAAGAAAGACACAACAAAAACTATTCGGCACGTTGGAAACATGTTCAAGCTCCCAGGTCTTGAGCTGGCACGGTGGAAAAACGGGACACCCTTCTTATGGATCAACTTGGACTGCGCTGGTAGATCTGGACTGATCCAACTGGGGCCCAAATTGGGTTGGCTTACTCTCGACATGACGCTTGGAATACCCTGCTCCAAGATGCTGCAAGCTCAATCATCACTTCATTTGGGCTTGCAAACAGACTCGATTTATCCCGATCCTCCCGGTGTTTTGGTTTCCAAGCACCCCAGATGCCCCGGGGCGACCGGTCGAAAAAGGAAGGCACGGCCGAAGGCTGCCGAAACCGATCGAGGCTGGGCGATGGCTCGGCAGTGGATTGGTGGTTCGCCTTTAAGCTGACCACCTCAGCCTTTCCCACCTGCAGCGCCAAGCCCACGTGCGCCTTCGGAGGACGGACATCGGAATCGGAGTACTAGGAGTTGTGCTGAATTGGAAGGGTGTGGTAGGGAGTATTGGGAATCAGGCACGGCATATCCAGTACCCTTCAGGGTATAAACTTTAAGGTTTCATCCACTCATCCTTTGCATCTCACAGGTCATGGTTGGTCGCGTTTTGGGTCTGTTTGTTCGACCTGCGCGAGGAAAGGAACAGACCGATGGCAAGACTCTTGGCAAGACCGATGGCTGGGGGATGGTGGGGTGCAGAATTCCTCCGATCTCAGTTTCGGTCCTGCAGAAGAGGACAAGGCCTTCTCAGTAATCATAGGCCTTGGATGTTGTGTCACAAGCATCTAGGTCAGGGCCTTTGTGGATTTTTTCATGAGAGCTTTCAACAGACTCCCCAACGCTCCGCCTCCAACAAGTATCCGAACCCGCAACACAAATCATTGGGGTGCTCACAACTCATGATTCAATGATACTTGTGTGCATTGCTTCGCATAAATACACCCTCGTTCAAACTGGACCTGCCAGTGGCCGGCTCAGAAGTTTAAATGCACCAGACCAGATATGTATTGTGTGCTGCTACGCACCTGCGGTGTATAGGGAAAGATGTTGCTGCCTTATTATGGCAGGGGCCAAATAACGCACTATCCGACTATCCAGCCTACATGATCGAGGTGTTGCAGTGTGTGTCTCCTGTAAACTGAGGGAAGTGCCAAATCAGCCACCCTGGGCCAGTTCGTGTTCAAACGCCCTTGTTCAATGTAACATCTTGACGAAGACCTCCTCGTATCCCTACATGGATTGTAACACCTCCTCAGGTCGGGGGAGAAGTCGGAAGTTGTTATAGATCCCTAGGGCTCCAGCCACCTCCGTTTCGAAGGTGGTTGGGCCAGGGGCCCGGGAAGGTCGAATACCACCGAACCTGAGGATCTGGTCCGGCCTCCCAGGCCCCGACCGATCCCACTGGCCGAAAGGTGGAACCTGCAACCAACCCGGGACCTGGCGTGAGGAGGGACCGGAGATCGGACATACAGGAAGATAGGAAGATAGGCATACCCGATCTGGTTTCAAGGATTTTGTTGAGGTCACCTGGTCACCTTGATATACTTCGAGACTCCTTTCAGGGCCTTCAACACTCACCAATCCTTCTTGGGAGAAGTTGTGACACCGAGGTACGGCTTGCAATACGTCTTGTCCTATGGCTCGAAGGGGAAGACCAACGCCATGCAGCTGCACACGGATGCTTTCTCAGCATTTTAAAGCCAATCGATGGGTGTTGAGCGCCAAAATTCCATCGGTCATTGGATGTCATTGGATTGGATTGACACGCGTCTGGGGGGAAACCAAAACGGATGGAAACCATGTGTTTGTTTTGCATCGTCATGTCAAGTGGTTGCCTCATCCTGTCTGTGTTCATCCCCTTCTCATCATGTTTTCAGCCCTCTTTTGTGGACCCACGATATCATCATGGATAGATGAGACAGAAATGTGGAACACATCTACACCAAACATGGGGACACATCTACAGGTCTAGGGCCTCTAGGGATTGGTCGTGAGATTGACTTTTTGTACTCTGTTCTTAACTCCGCGAAGTAGGAATATGTTGTTTCAGGAGTTAGTTAGCCCAAACATCAGGAACCTTATCAATATCAACCAGCATGGTGGCGTTTTCTTGACAAATCAGTGGGCAAAACATGGCACAATATCCCAATGTCTGGGGCGGAATTCCCGAAGGGGAAGGAAGCTGGTTGATCGGATGGGCGGACTTCCTCCCTTCCAGCGTGGAGATGGCGAGTGAAAGCTCGTCGATGTTTCTCCAAATAACGACCTCAAAAAAGTCTGTCAGTCCATGGGCCAGCCCAAGTCGCACCTTCACCTTGGCTGCTTCAAGTCCCTCAAAGATCTATTTTTGGCTGGTTTTGGATGGTCGATGTGGTCGATGTTCTAGTTGCGTTGATCATTCTTAGATCTGTGGCAGCACTGAGGATTGTTTGGGAAATGCGGATGATCCTTTGGCCAAGACCTTCAACCAGGCGACGCCTGCGGAAACAGCTTCTGCAATGAAATGGGCTTGGAATGACAGATGAACCAGCCCTTGAGTTACAAGAATGTGAGAGCAGAGAATCTGTGATAAGAAATCCCACGCATTCTGAGCTGAATTTCGCGTACCCAGCTGGTGCTTCCTTTTCACCACCGCGAAACCGCTTGCCGGATCACTTGTGATGTGAGCAACCGAAACCAGGTCACGAAAGGGAGCGGTCGTGAGAGGTGTGAGTGGCTGAAACCTGGGTCGAAGCCCCTCAAAGTCATAACCATGCCAATGCATTTTTAATGCATGTTTTTTGTTTATTTTTAGCATGTTCAGCTGTCTTGTTATTTTAGCATGCGGCTCTGGCCCGAACAAGCTCCAGGTCCCCTTCAGAAATCCATAAGCTGGCACACTCATGTCTTCTTCCTGACCCAATAGTTTTGACAGACGTAGACGTAGAGAGTGGTGACAATCAAGAGGGTTTTAATAAAGTGAAGACCAATGATTTCGTACCCTCAGGGTCTCCTGGTATTGACCACACCAACACTCATGTGTTATGTCAACGCGCAGGTGTACTCTGGACAGGCGCCCAATTTCGTGGTGTGGAACGACCAGTTCTATGGCGAGCCTTGGCGGGGCTTTGGAAGTGAGTCTTTTTGGAAGTTGCATGGGAAGCTTGGTCACAAAGCAACACCTAATTAACAGAAAGGGTATGAAAGGGTACTGTAATATATATATATATAGAGATAGTAATAATATAATTACATGTTACTCTTTTATAAGATCTCAGTGGCCATATTTAATTAATCCATATTGTGGATAACCTCAGCTTTGGGGTGCCCCGAACGTTGAGATCCCCGGAAAATGAAGGTCTGACCTGGTCATCCGGCCAGCCTCACCAAGGCTTTTCCAACAATTTGCGTTCTTTCAATTTGCTGGATGGACCATCTGGAAAAACGAGGGAACGTTTGACTTGGGCCGAAGAATCCTCGGCCCTAGGATTCCTACCACCAGTAATTATATAATATGTAATCTAGTTTTTGTTTTAACCGAACTGGTTCCCGAACCACTGCCGAACCGCCATTGATTGTCGCAAGGATCTTACACTACAAAATCCAGATCAACCATGATTAAGCATGCTCTTGGACTTCCAGGGTCTTCCTTAGCACTCCACTGGATTCGACCTCGCCGCTGGCCGCAATGCTTCGTTTCGACTGAGGACCCGGTGCTGAACACGAAACCCAAGTGCACCAGGGAGTGCGAAGCCCCCTGGGGCCACAGCAAAGGACGGGTCGAGTTGTGGGACGAAAGAGGAAGCTGGACATGTGGATTTGGATTTCGGGAGACCTCCCCGGGCCCAATATGGGTAGACTGGTCGATTTCTCTTCTTCCTCCTTGGGGTTGATTTGGGAGGTCTCCCTATATTTGAGCTGCACATCCATGAGTTTCCTGGTTTTGGGGCGGTTTGTTTTGTTTTGTTCGGCAATCCTGGAAACGACCACCTTGTAGAACATCGACGGTTCAGTGTACATGTCCTAGATTTCCTATCACTCGTACACCTTCGGTATTGACCCCGTTTAATAGATTTTAATAGCATGTTTCTTGCTGTATCTATTCGTTTCTGAGCCTCAAATACAAAAGTTCTTACTTTGTTTGGAGCAACTGTTGTCTAGTTTCGTGAGGATCAGTTCCCTTCCAACATGAACATGGAAGATCAATTGGGGACCTGAAGTGGTTCTTTCAGGATTTTCTGTTTCAACCAATTCTGTTCAAAAGAATCGGCCGATGACATGTGTTTAAGATTGTTTGAGACCCCTGCCAAGTGAGCAGCTGGCAGTGCTAGAGCTTTGTTCCTGATGAGATGGTGGAGGAGGAACACATCCGCAAATAGGGGAGAATGATGTGGACACAATTGAGCAGCCACTTCAGAAGCCACGAATGCAGCAGACATCAACTGACCTTGCAGCGTTTGACGACCATGGTATGAACATTTTGTGTATTGGGGTGGTCTCAGGGATCAATGTAGGTAAACATCATCAATGGATTTCATGAATCCATGAAGTGTTTGAGATAAGTGTCCAAGAATATGTTCAAGGGATGACGGCAGCCTGTTGGCATCATTTTGCTGGACCGCTCTAGGACACATTGGACCCTGCTTCGAACCGCGTACAAAGCCGGTGACCCGTTGTATACAGATCTCGCCCAATAAACATAATATCCCTTTAGGTGGCTAGCACTTTGGGGAACACCATCAAACACCTCTGAATACCGTTTTTTTCACAGTCTTAGCAACAGGAATTTGCACTTCATGGATTCAGGTACATCCCCGATCGGATCGCCGATGATGCTTTTGAGGAAAGGATTAGCAGAAAACCACACGTCATGGATCACATGTTTGGTTTCCTGTTTGTTGTTTCGAGTTCTTCGAATCGGATTCAGCCTTCCATTTTTCGGTCAATTCCAGTCCCATCTGTCGTCTTGGAGTACACTCCCGAAACGTCGAAGGTGGTCGGTCTTTGCACCCTGAGTCCGACTGAATGGTTTTCCTCTACACACCACTACTTTCCTTTGCTCGCTATCATCTAACCAGCGGAACAATTCTCCACCAAAACCATCACCGGAACAAGTGAACACCACCGCAACACCAGCACCGTCTCGCCCCGGCTTCGGACCGTCCGGAGGAGTCCTGGCCTGGGGCGATGACGGCACTGGCTTCGTCTTGCAGGTGACCACCCCGGATTGGCCGGGCGCAGGCGGGAGCCGATGAGGGCGAGGAGACTGTACAACGGTGCGGCCGGGTGCATTTCAGAACGCGGCGGGGATTCATTTGGGGATCGGGAGGGCGCTTGATACTTGTAGCATGCGGTGGCAATATGGGGCCGTGGCTGGGGTGCAAAAATATCTATCAAAAGACACCACAATTGATTTGATTGAAACAATACACATAATTAAAACAGCAAAAATCATGGTGGATGAAAGATCTTGAAACCATTAATGTGATTGGATTTTAAGCCTGCTCTGACCGGATTAGCGTGAATACATTGTTCTGGTCCAATTTTTTGGTAGACCATTCCAGCAAGCAGTGAGTCTGGTGAGAAGTGCCACGACTTGCTCAGGTTCCTCTCCAGGTTGACTTGGAAGACTTCTATATTGGGATTGGTCCCTGAGATGTTTGAGATCTTGGTCATGTAGGCCCCAGGTTATGGGTCCTATAAGATCACAAAACCTCTAGAATAGTATATTTCAACCGCCCCATATGAAGAGGTTGTGCAACCCCATTTTGTTGGAAGGCTGTGTTGATTCATCCCCAAACTCGAAAGCTGGATCGGATCTCCATGAAACAGCTGGGCTCCAGCCGAAGCTCGGCTCCAGCTGGCGCCGAAACCATAGAGGCAGCAAGGCACATCCGCGGACCATCAATGGAAACACCCTGGGCTGCTGCTACAACGATGACAACACCAAGGCAGGTCGAGAAAAAAGCACCGCGAGGAAAGCCTGTTGGAGCGAGGAAGCGCCAGATCGTTGAAGTTGGCAAAGCAGGTTCTCTTCATCCGGGAGAATCCAGTTTGATGTTTGATTACTGTGATCTATGATCATTTGTGGGTTCTTTTGTGGGCGCCACATTGCTATTATATATATATATACAATAAATAGATATATATATATACTGTATATACATATATTATATATCATGCATTAATTATGATATGGTTGTGTTTGCACCTAGATCCCTCTTGGTTATTTAGCTGGACGACTTGCCTGAATAGAGAAAAGCTGGTTCCACATGGCCCCTGCCGGCCATGCGGGACCTCCACGAGTTGGGACGTGGAAAGACGTGAAGGCGACATGTCCTTTGGTACCCTCGTCGGGTCTAGTATTGACCACCTGATGGGTCGCCTCATTTGCTCAACTCCCCTCGGCTGCAAGCATCCAGAATTCTCGCCCATCGCAGAGAGCCATCACTTGTTGTCTTGTTGTGCATGTCTTTCTTCAATGAACAGGGATGCAGCTGCTGATGCTGGGTGAGGCGATGGCCAGTCTGTTGACAACTTGCCACGGATCATTCCAGAATCCGCCAGGTGGCTCAGCACTTCTTTGCGTTGCACTTGGCGACCAAGGAGGAGATCTGAGACTGGTTGCCCAAACTATTTAGGTGGCAAAGCCGACGAACACGTGTACAAGACGAGACAAGACCCACTTAGTTGTTAGCTGTTAGCTGGAGAAAGGTAATATGAGTAGTTATATATATACTATGATGGAACCAGACAATGCTTCAAATAAGATTCTCCAGACCACTGCCTTTGAGCCTTTGGACATCCCCTCATAGTCGTGGATTTTTCCAGACGATGGAACCCAGATGACTCAATCCCAAACTCTCCATCAGACTTGCATATGTACCTACACAGGGTTTCACATATGGCATATCTATACATGATGTGATATTGTGCAGTCTTTTTTTGTTTTACTTTTATTGTGTGTTTGTTTTGTTTATTTGCATTTATGTGTGTTATATATATATATATGACGGTCAACATGTACAGATAAAACGTTCATACTCCGTACAGCGAGGGTTAAATGTACAATCAAACCCTCCATTACAGTCCGAATGAGATGGTCAAAATGTACTTTTAAATGGAGGTTTTGGGACTGATCTCTCAACATATGGCTCGGACCGCGCGACCAGGACACCTTGGCGGTCCTGCAATCCATGCAGCGGGCCTCGGTCGCGACCGATCCCAACAACCCACAGGCGGTCGATTTTTTCCGCAGATCTTGGAACTGAAGAGCACTGCATGAAACTGGTCCGTGCATTTTTTGTATCACATGCAGTAACTCAACTCCCCATTTGGGATGATTTGGGTGTCAAATGGCATTCCGAGTTAGGATCCTTTGACGCGTCTTTTTTGTGCGCCGCTCACCCCTTCATCTCAACACGCACGTGCCGATGTTTCATCGACCCTGAGTGGCTCGCAGGTGGCCAAGTTGACCAGTGGCCCCAGCGAACTGCTGGACGCGGCGAAGCAGCTCGGGCATCAGGTGAAGGACCGTGGCTACCGGTTCGTTCGGTCTGAACAATCGGAAGGATGAAGGATCGGAACCTGCAAGTGGTGTTTGTTTAATTGTGAACAGACGTTGGTCTGTCAGAAGAAGCATAATTTGTTAGAAGGTGGGACTGTGGGAATGGGGTGCATTCTTTTTGTTGGTATTTCACGTCACAGTAGTCAGGAACTCAGACAACAGCTTCCATCTAAACAGAAGCTGGGAGACGCTGCTGTTTTGAGGTTTGGTTGAGATCCAGTCATCAAAATAGAACCTGTTCTTCAACGGTTCTTGGTTTAGTCCAACAACAGAGGTTGAAGAACCCTGTAGACTAAATATAGGTATACCTAATAGGTACCCCATCCAGGTACCCCAAGTTACCGGTCCTAATTATTAGGTCAGCCTGCCGAGCCCACGTGCCCTGTCCATGTGTGCGTCTCGAGCCCGGATTTGGCAGATCAAAAAACAACCTGTCTCAATGGAGTGACTGTTACATCTTGGGATTCTTGGGACGACATGTCCTTCTAGGCAACATTTGCTACCTTTCCTTATAGGTCTTTGTTTCTTCAGCCACGGAACCTGCTACTCGTCCCATCTCCCACAGTTAGTTCTCAATTTGGCCTACGATCCACTGGGAATAGCACGTCACATCACTATTCAGTACTCCCATCATGCTCCTTGGTCCGATTCGCATCCGCCTGGGAGGACATTGTGCAGCCTTTGACCCACACCATGAGCGTGAGGCCCCGCGGTCGGATGCGGTTGGATGGCAATCGATCAGTTCGAATTCACCAGTTCACTCGCAATCCATCCGTTTGGAGCAATCCATCAGTTCAACTTCCACGGCCTCTCTAGCCTCGTCGCAGGACCAGCAAAAGCCCAGTGCAACTCTTGGCCAAGCCATCAGGAGCAGCTGGTAGACGATGAAAGAAACGGGCGTGGCGGATTTGGGGGGCGCAACAACGGGTGTTGGTCAAAACCAGCTGGGTTGAACAATCCAGGCGGCTGCTCTCCCCCAAAAAACTCAAGTGTCCTGCTGATTTCAGTCCAGGTTGTATATGAATATGTTTTATAATGATGTTTATATTATACAATCTTTCTTGACAGGTTTCTGGGATTTCGATGTTGAATTTGTTTTTTACCGGGGCCAGCTAGTGGAGACCTTTTTGAGTAGAAAAAAATAGGAGCATCACTAACTGTAATGGCAAAGGCTTTGCTATCCCACAAATACTGTAACTCTAATTTCACCAAGCCTCAAAATATCCTGTTCAACCCGAAAGGCACACAGGGGTGCCCTTGAGATTTGATGAACCTCTAACCTCCTTTGGTGGTGGCTTCCCCCCCCCGCACGGCCTGCCTCGTGCCGCATGCCGCGGTGAGGACTCTCTGTGTCGCCCTGGCACATGGTGAGCTCCATGCTGCAAACACCTTTGCGAACTGCCACCTGGTGGGCACATCCAACGATTCCATCCAGCAAGGCCAATTACAAGCCAGGACCTGGGCGCTTCACCGGGCAGGTTGGGATCAGTCTTTGGTCTCATGAACCTTTTGGGGACCCTGAGGCACCTATTATACATATATGTCATTCAAGGCACCAAGGATTTGGCTAACAGGGGTGCCTCAAGCCAGCTTAGCATGACATCTATTGAACCAAGCCTCAAATTCCAGATATTGCTGGGGAAGCGAGGTTTTAGATGTTCAAGCAACCTGGATGCCTCCTTGCTAGTGTTGAACCTCAACACGCAGATCAATTCGGTGAGGTGATTTCGGACATGTTGGGTTTGTCCAGTGGAAGTGGAAAAAAGTGCTCCACACAATTCGGGACCCACTTCGCATGTCCCACCCGGCAGAGGAGTCCTTAGATATATACACTCTTCTGCCTACGGGGCAGTCGCTGTTTGGGGGCCCTGGCCGCCTTGAGGATCCCAGCAGTTCCACCCACTTCGTGCGCAGGGAAACCCTCCCTGCCTGACGAGGTCACATGATGTGTTCCTTTGGTGACTCGTTTGAGGTCGGAGTTTTTTCACCAAAGGAAGCTCATGTGGCTCGCCAAAGGAAAAGATGTCACCAAAGAGTTTGTTCTTTGCTTTGGTCGGAGTTCGTTCATTTTGTGTTTTCGTGTTTTGTTGAAAGAAAGAACACACCGTTTTCACGAGGATGCTGGAACTCCGTGCTGAAGTCGGGCGGTGTACCTGAAGTGCAAGCAGCCATCACCGGCCAGTGGGCTTCCAAGACATTCAGCTACTTTGACCACCCCTTGGCCGCGGCGTGGTCTGTTTTCAGATGGACTCATCCGAAACCAAAACCCTCAAAACACAGGCCCAAATGAAGGCTGGGTGGCACTGGGTGGATGGTTTTTGAGGCTTGTTGAAATTTGGGTGGTCAATTCATGTGACATCATGTGACTCGTCCCTAGCCAGGTTGCCAGTGGCTATAGATTAGTAACACTAGGTACTAGCTGTTTGGGATCCACTAGTGACTATGTCAAGTTGTCCTCTGAGCAAGCAGGTTTTGTGGGTTGCTGACGCGTGTTCTGGGTCGCAGCTGACTTAGAGGACTTACATGTCCTCCAGATTTCCACAGGTAGACCGGTTCTCTTGAAAGCCTTTGAATGAGAGTCTAGTCCACATTAGGACTATAGGAGACACCAAGGAAAGCCTATCCTTGCCTATCCCAATCCCTACGGATGGGGGGGCTTTTGAGATACGCAAGGATGGCATATGTTGGAATTGTTTAGGACTTCATATGTGATCTATTCAGTTTTTGCAGCCATCACCGACTCTGATCCCTCAGCAGTGATGCAAGCAGATCAACCAAGTCAGCAACAGCTCCAGTCTGGAGACTTGTAGAGCCTACCCATAGAGCCTGCAGAGCCGGTGCATACAAATTCTTTTTGTTCATGGCCGGGTGTAGTCACACAATGTCACCACCAGCACCACCGACTTGACAGGTGTAGCTCCAAGGCATCAGACGGGTGTAGCTCCAAAGCATCCGTGTCACCTCTGCGTTTTGGGACTTCGTCCCAGCAGGACATTCCGCTTCGTTCAACCCGAAGGGGGTGTGTAGCGGACCCCCCGACACCGACCCGATCGGGGCGAGGTCAAGGGGTCTCAAAGCCACGCCACGCATTTTGCAGCTTCCTGAGGCTTCAAAGGGGAGCCGACCACCAACGGCATCTGGGTGGAGAACGGAGGAGTGATGTGATAGAAAGTGGGAGCACAGCTGTAGCAGGTATGGTATTGTTTTTTTTTGAAATCACAGGAAGTTCTGAAATGACCTCGTTAACTGTGGCACTAAGTTCACCCAAGAAAACAGAGTTTGTTTTGTTGGCATAATTCCAGTGGCCACATTGTGAACCAGGTGGCTCAATCCAAACAGGTTGTGGTGTAGCTAACCCGATCTACATACTCAATCCACTTATACAGATGTTGTTTTTTGATTGTCCATAGGCACCTAGCTCACCATCAATTTGGATGCAAGGGGTATCATCCACCAAACAGCCAAGGGAACACATAGAGAAAAAACAATGTTCTTTGCCCGCCTTACATGTGTTCAAACACACAACCCCCCTGCAGCGGCTAGCTGGTTGGGATGAGAAGTGACGGTGTCGGCGTTCGTCGCTTTTATCGCGACTGGGCTATGTCAGACTTGATGGAGATTTGGGGGTCGGGCAGGTACTGTAGCCACCAAGGAAGATAAGGAAGGCATCCGAGGCATTCGAAGCGGAACAATGTCTTCGAGAAGGGGCCATACAATCCATGAAAGCATGTGAGTAGATCAGTAGATCTGGGGTGAACAGGCGGCCGAAGAGGCCATCCTTGAAATCGTTTTCACGAGTTTTGGGTTGGTTCCATTGGTTCCTAATCACTTCCCATGCTTGGTTTTAGTCAGGGTGATGTAAGATTTTCCCTATGGTTAAATCCGCTTCTGGAGAAGACGTCTTCTCTTGCAGCTTCCTGGACAGCAAATCCCATGTACTGATACTGACCAGAGCGTTTGGAGAGCCTTTCGGCCGTTTGGTCACCTCATGCATGCAGAGCCGTTTGGTCGCCGAGGCAACCATGCCAAAGTGGCTCACAGTCTTTCGGGGAAGAACTTGGCGGTCTTTGGCTGCTTGGTTTTGGTTGCCGTGACGTCGGGTAGCCGTTGCAAAGACCCAACTGCATATTCAATCATATTCATTTACGATTTGAGAACCAAGAGGATACCAAGAGGTACATATCCCCCCAAACCACCAGACCTAAGTCCAGATCTAGGTCATCTATTTGTTCAGTGCTTTGGTTGACCGCCAAGTGAACCTGTTTTTCACCGGAACCCACCTGGGAAGGTGACATGAACATGCAGGGCGCCCTGGACCCGTCGGATGGCGGCTGCGACTCCGCACAGAACGGACGGGGCGGCATGTTCTTCGTCCTCGAGGACAGAGACACAACGCGTGCGGCGTGGGAACAACGAGGTGTTTTGATCGTGCAGGCAGCACGATCAGGGAACGGATGGGATTCTCATTGATGTCGATAGCATGGTCCAGTCAAGTCAACCAATAGCATGGATCATGTCGGATGCTGTCAAAAACGGAAAACTGCAGCAGTTCTGCGGATGTGACAGGGGCACTCCTATCCTCCAAGTTGGGCACCCCGAGTGTCAGAATTGATGGTGCTTTTTCGACTCTTCAGCAGAGTTTGATGTAGCAGACGTCGTTCTAGTCACAGCCAAGAATTGCACAGAGGCCCTGGAAAACAACGCCAAAAGAACCTATATATCCATTCAGAAGCTTGAATGGGTATCTCACACGAGATTCACAAAGGAATTCCGACTAGAGAGTCACCCCACGTTGAGAAAAACATGATCAATGCACTCAGCAACACATCCGGAACCTTCCCAAGCCAGCATTGTGAGGACGATGTGCTTCATGAGGGGTTGAAGGCCCTTCTCACTGGAGATACTGCTCCCTACAAGGGCGGTTCTGGACCGGGACCTTCCCCAACGCCACCATCGCCTCCAACGCCGCCATCGCCTCCAACGCCACCAACGCCACCATCTCCTCCAACGCCTCCCGCGCCACCCAGCAGTTGCGGTGGGGCCGGCATTGTACCTTGGATCAGTTGGATCAATATATAAGTCTAAAAAAGATAGGGGACTCTCCAATGTGGCTGAATCAGCCAACGTCTCACCCGACCGGACTGGCTCAGCTGTTGGGTGAAGCCCTTTTGTCGCTTTTTGGCCGCGGATGGAACGGGCCATGGTATATGGCAGGTCTCCTTTGCACATTGTGAAGGAAAGATGGGTTTCAAGGACAGCTCCGGTGCATGGATAACCGAATGGGCTACAGGCTACGACCAGATGGGCAAGTCTCAATGTGAAACCATCTCAAACCCATGACCCGCCAATGTTTGACGCCATGAACGCCAACGCCCAGGATTGGAGGAAGTGCAAGGCCAGCGGATGCAAGTATGTCGTTTGGCAGATGAAAGGCGAAGCAGACGGGTGTGAACCCTGTGGTGCTAAACAGCTCTAGGTACTGGTACTGGACCCTTTGGGAGACGTTCAAGACTTTCACTAGTGGCACTAGCGACACACGCACATCAAACCCCAAAAGCTGGCCGGCGCTCAGATGGACTCACAGCATAGGCCGACCTCAGGTTCTCGTAGGTGAAACAATCAAGATTAGAATATGTGTGCGTACTTGTGCTGTTTGAGAGCATGTCCAAAAATGATCAAACATGTATCAATTGACACGTTCAGTGATTCAGTGGAATTAGTCTCATTATCTCTGTGACAAGGGAGGAAGTGCCTCGATTGAACTTTTCAATGCATGAGGCAAATACAAACATGTCAAAAGTGTGTGTGTGTGGAGAAATTATCCAGCCTCAAAATGCTTCAAATGCTGGTGACCATATGGTATTCGGCATGATACTTTGGTGGAGAAAAGTAACTATATCTCGTATACAACCCATCCTTTTCTCGAAGTTCAATGCAGCGAGAGCTCCTTCCGATCCCCAGGAAGAGATACATCCCCCCCATGTTGTGACACCCCCAACTGGAGCTCTGGGTGTTAGTGTTCACCGCACTCACTTGGGATCACATGGAGCTCTCACTAGCTTCGATGTGGCGCTCCACGTGCCACTCCTGTCCATCGCCGCGCGTCGCCCGAGAGACCGGAGGGGTCGCGAGGAGACCACCGGTCTTTTCCGTCTGACCCTTCTGGCGAAAAGGGAAGCTCCGAAGCTCCGACCCGTCAGTCCTTCGCGCTGTGCATTCTGAGGTGAAGAGCACTGATGCCAAGAAGTGCCAGGTGGGGAGGAGCTGTGACCGGAACCGCTCCAGCGCTAGGTCCGCCCTCCAAAGTAGAGTATTTCAATGACGTAAAGTAAGTGTATTAATGCGGAATTTCTTTGATCCTAAGGTAATTGTATTACGAGGAATTAGTTTGGATCCTAAAGTACAGGCTTAGTTCAATCAGTGAATTGTCAGCCCTGAGGCTCGATTCTGCATTGTTGAAACTGTTTGGCGGGTACTGACCAAGTGAAAATGGCCGCAAAACACGGACGGCTTGCCCAACAGTTTCGATCTGGAGGCTCCTGTGCATATTTGTTTCTTTCCAACCTGTTTCGTTGGAATGCTCACTTGCCAATTACATTTACGGAAAAAACCGGTCGAAAGCAGCTCTGTCTGAAAAAGGACACAACAGATCCTCCAAGTTTGGAACCCCGCCATACCGGCGCCGCCCTCATCCACTCGTTCAAGGTGGCCAAGTTTGGATGCTATGATGTGAACCAATTGCCTGATGCCTGTAAGAACGCCAACCAGTTGGTGGCTTAGAATGCTTAGCTGCCGGCTTTGCGCGAAGCCGCAGCAGCATGCGAAGCATGCGAAGCTCTAGGACCCTCCACTGTAAGATTACTTTCGGATGCTGAGATTAGGCCTTTCAGGATCACTATGGATCACTATAAGACAATATCGTAAAGTTGTATAATAGCAATTACTCATGGTGTTTTGCCCTGATCGGAGCCAATCAATTGGGGTCATGACAATCACGTGGTGGTCGGGTCTGACTGCAAACAGTAGTTCCACTGTGAGTTCCACTACTGTGACGTCGCTTCCGATCATCTGCCTCCAGCGATCCCTGCGGAACGACTTTTAAGGTTCGGCACGCCGCGGATCGGATTCATCGGAGCTTTTCGCTGATCGGAGGATGGCTGGTTAATGTGGGTCCCAGGGATCAGGCGACGGCGGTCCTAAACACACGATGCAAAAGTGATCTGATGATGTCTGATGTTGTTGGTGTTAGTTTTTGGTTTTTGAACACAAGAGTCGAGAGTTGAATGAAGTGCCAGGAGCCTCCCAACATCTCCCAACAAAAAAAGACAAGAGGCAACGAGGTTTCTGGAACCTGAATACAGGTGGATTTCATATGATGTCATTTTGAACACTGAGGTTTATGACATGAGTTTCAACGGGATCGATAGAAAGATGTTCCCTTGTGTGTGCAACACCTGTTGAATCAAACACCTGCCCCTATCCGAGATCTGTGTGCAGTAGCCGGACTTGGCCGGACTGGCAAAGTGTTGTCGTTCGCTCCGCTGAAACGGATGTTCCATGGACTTTCCATTACACCTGGGAAAATTAACATGGAACCTAACAACCACAGGGTTGTAGAGGAAAATAGTCTTCCAAAGGTCAGTTTTCAGGTTCCATATTGATTTTCCCGGGTGTATATGTCCATATTTTACATGCGGTACCATGGTTAAATCAAGCTGATTCTTCACAGCAAGTTGCTGTGATCTACCAGGCCGTGCAGTGCCTGGTCGGACCGATTTGCTGGGACCTTTTTGCTGGGTCAATCAGTTTGACCCCCCAAAACTGCTTGTTGCCCCACTCCGTGCCGTGACAACGTCCATGTCGTGTCGAAACGTTTCTTAGCCGTCTGGGCGAGGGTCTCCACGCGGACACGCGAAGGGCGTCCAACCCGGGAAACCTTCTGCGGGGATGCAACTCCAGAAACAGAAGTGAATATCAACTGCATGATCTTGCTTGGCCGGAAGATGCTTTTGCCTGTTACTCATCGGCAGCAGTGAATTTGTCGAACACCTTCCTCTCAAAATCCAAAGGAACAAAAACCTTGTTAAGGTCCTTCGAAGCGCTTGGAAGAAGGAAACTTGTTGATTGGGCTTTTAGGCAAACATTGGGGTTGATGTATTGGTCCATAGATGGAATGTTTGAATAAGTCCATGCAGTTGCGAAGATGCCTTGCCTTGTATCCAGCACCGCTAGGTACAACGCATGCTTGACATAGAAAACATATGAAAAACACATGTGTTTGTTTCAAACACCTTCACATATTCAGTGGTCAATGCGCCTTTTTGCTGGCATGGGGCCTGGAGCAACTCTGAAATCAATCCCATCATCTCTTTCCGCTGCAGAGTGAAATAAAATGATACCATGTCGAGATGCTCAGTCGTGAACAAAGAGGGTGTCGTATATATAGAGTATAGTATAGGTGAAAAAGAGGGTCTTTAAGAGAGGACAGCCAGTGTTGCTCATGGTGAAATCCTCCCAACCCTAAACTGGGCAGAAACTTGATAGAACGATATGCTTGATAGAACGGAGTGACTCGTTGGTGGGAATGTTGCACTACCAGCAGTTGATTTAATCGACAACATGTGTGTTTAAACTCCTTACCACCAGCGATTTAATGTGTTTTACCCATTTACCTTAATTACACACAAAGCCAGGTCATCCTTTTGTTGATGGTCTTGTAAGACTAGGGCTTAGCTTGGAAATACTACCTTTCAACCTTGCTTTGCACATCGTTGCAGTTTCCATAGTTGTTGTTAGAACCATCCCAGCACCACTAAGAGTTTGGTTTCTGACCCACAACCATATGGGTCAACATGACTTAGATGAACGTCCCATAGTACCTGCTTGCGATGAGCGAGCTAGTAGGTCTTTATGTGACTAGACTGAACGGTTGGGATATATTATCATCACCGCACTGCAGGTTGAGACCTTTTTAAAGCTTGAAAAGGTAGCCTTCATGGTCTGTAGCAGTGCCAGCGGATTCCTTTGTCTCTTCCACTTGTTGCATTCCCTCATTTCGGCCCATGCACCCCCCACAAAAAAGAAAAAAACACCCCGAAACGCCTTCGGTGACTCTTCGCTTCGTGTTTATCGCATAGATAGACCGCATACCTGACTCCCACCGCTACTCGTGTCTCCTGCTCTGCGGAGGCGTCGTTCCGGCGTCGCATCGCGCCGTGGATGTGTTGGACCTGGCCGAAGAACGTGGCCTCCTCCAACGCGACGAGGCGAGGGATGAGCGCGACGAGGCACTGGGAGAGGTCCGGTAGAACGAGGCACGGTCGACTCGTCGACGGTAGAGGCCACGGGTCGACGGTCGACTCGTGCTCAGTGCCACAAGATCCCGAAAGGGACATGCGGCATGACCCTACAAACGTTGCATCGTGCTTGCAACGCGTTATGCAACGCGTTAAGCAACGCGTTGGTTTGTAGCTACTTGGAGGAGAAATGTGTGTTTAATGTTCTGTGCATCTCTCTTGGACCTCCCCGCTTTTCGTCCACTTGCCAGGCTCAAGGCTATGCCAAGCGGTGGCTCTCGGGTGAGGCGCGTGAGTCGATCAGTTAACAGCGCTTCCATAGACCATCCGTATCATCCTCGTAATCATCCTTTGTCGCGACTGCCATCAATCACTCCTCTCAATCACTCCTCTTATCTCCTCTTCATCTTCATCTTCCTCATGTTTTTCTTCATGTTCTCCCCCAATGAGTCAGTCAGAAAGTCCCCGTTTTCAGGGTTGTCTAAGTTCCGCATTTTTGTGGGTTAGAAGGACCTCAAAAGACTTGGTGAGCATTTGTGGTCCAGAGATGGGTGATCCACTGGTTTCATAGAGTCACACAGTTTCTATGACCCGAGACTTGGGTCGATCGAAAACTTATTGATGACCATCCCTAGGGCTCCAAGTACCTCCTCAGAAGGTATCTGGACCCTCCTGGCACCCACCCCAAACACCTTCTCAGAACGTACTTGGAGCCCTAGGGCATGTGAATTTCTGTGTGAATTTCATGGCGGACCACGACATAGTTGGCACCATGAACTCCATCACGCGATATAGCTTTAAAAACGAACTCTGTCACCACGAACGGTGGATGTCGAGTCGTTGGGAGGGTGCTGAGTCGTTGGGTTGGTTTTTGTTTGGAAATGGCCACAGGACATGAACAGGACATGATAGAATTTGCTCTGTCGTGATACAAGTTTGGTTGGGTCCATCAGGTTTGGTTGGGTAGGGGCATGCTGTGCTCGCAGAAACGCCAGGTGATGACAGATGATGACTCAGCGCATCCTGGTGCCAAGATTCACATCACTACACACACATATATATATATAATATATTATATATATAATATGTAGAGAGAAACCTAGGAACCTCAAATTAGGACAAGACGGATATGAATCTCAATCACATCCCCAAGGATGTGGATCCTTTAGCAAATCTATAGTCTATTCTTTGGATTGGATCGGCTTTCTTTCGCCCACCGTGCACAAGTGTGTATTTGCATTCTGCATTGATCAAGCAAGTCTTGTGCAGACCCCAAACACATATATTGTGATCCACCATGATCCACCATTCCGTTGGAAAACTCCAGTGTAGAAGAATGAGAGAGCCGTTTCCGCGCAGCGGTCACCAGTCACACAGTTTCTCCATGGAGTGAGTGTGTGGCACGCGGAATGTGGCGACCTGCTGATTTCCTGAGACAGGAAAGTTTGGAATGCCATCCACATGTCTTGCACTTTGGAATGACATCCCACTTGGAATCACATCCCATTTGTTGTCCCATGTTTCATGACATCCCATTTGGAATGACACAACAACGCACGTTTACTTGTCCCATGTTTGATGTTTCTTGGGTCGCATCCAACTGTCCAAAGATGCGGTCCTCTTGTCTTGCTCAGGCACCGACGTCGCGTTCGCCCCCCTTGATCCCAGCTTCACGTCGACGTGTAGGGACGCTTCGTGTCCTGGGCGCGTGGTGATCCCGAAAGCGATGAGGATTCCACTTCACCCACTGTTGAGGTGTCCACCCACTTCGCCCAGGACGCCACTCGCTTTGCAGCGTGCCGTGCTGCTTCGAGCCTCTTTGTACCAGAAGCGCGCAGCAGCCAAAGCGCTGGCAGAGCTCTCTGGGCTGCAGCCCGGCGAGCCTATTCGTGTTCGATCATATTCGATCCCTAGAGTCCAGCCTAAAACCTTGATACAACATCCGGGCGCTGGGAGGTTGTTTTCCGACGGACCAAGTTCGGCCTATCCTGAACTTGCTGGTTTGTCAGAGTATGATCCAAAGTTGGGTTCTGAGCCACCCAGCAACAGTCCAAAGAACATGATTTTTCTAGGGGTCCGATGATCAAGTTTCACTATCATGAGATAGCCCAAATGTTGTTCAGTGTTTCTGGTTTGCTGCATGGTAAAACTGGGGTGCTTGGCAGTTGGTAGGGTAAGTGTCCTTCGGATGCTTCTGCGGTGTGATCTCAGGTATTTGTGTGAGCTACGTCCACTGGATACGAGGTCAGCCACTCGGATGGTGGGGTGTGATATGTCATCTTGATTTCTTTCGTTGGCGGGGAAGTCTTTGGTGAAAACGAGGGCTGGTTCTGAAAAGACTTTTGCTGTAGACTGTTCCCTCTCCATCTCAAAAGTCTCATGTGCTTAGCACATCTGGCCACCCTATCCTCGAGGACAGAGCTCAGCTTTGTGCCTCCAAACTGCCTTTTTCGGCACTTTGGGGTCAAGAAGATGGGCTTTTCGTTGGTGGAGCTGGCAGCGGCAAAGGCCAGGATCAGTTGATCAACTTGGTGCGCTATGAATGGTGAGTTGAAGGAAGGGAGGGAGGGAGGGAGGAAGGAAGGAAGGAAGGTGAACTATTTTCGGATGGTTTGGGGATTGAAGGGTCTTGGAGAACAAAAAGCCTGGAGTATTCCAATAGTAGAAATCCTTTGGTCGCGAGCCCTTCGAGAATGCAAGCACTGCATGCAGGCGTTGGGACACTAGCCAGAAGGCGTTGGAACACTCAGAAACAGTATCAAATTAACTATCCCTGTCAACCGTCTTGCCCTGTGAGAGGTCCCCCCAAGGAAATTCAGCCCATTCACATCCACAGATCATCACAGATCCAACGAGATCGAAGGAACTGGCCAGGACTTCATGTGGATCAACGTCCTGAGAGCAATGTCGGCAAGCAGTGGCAGGGGAGGCAGGGCGGCAGCAACATTGGGGCACAACCATCCGTCGCTGTGGACGGATGGTTGGGGTGGTCCCAACTCTTGGAGCCGCAGTTTGTGGAACAGGGCCCAAGAAGTAATTACACAGTGAGTTTGTGTGGAAGACCAACCATTTCTGCAACCTCATGAATTCCACCAGAATGAGCTTGTAGAGCTGGATTGGTCCAGTAACAGCAGTGAGCAGTAACAGCTGGGTCGCTTTTTTCACTCTAGATCCCCGGACCACGTGCGATGCCTGGATTGCTGGTTGATGGCCGAACTACGGTTTCATGCCAGAAGATGGCAGGTTCATGATTCCGTGGTATTCAGGATCTCGGATGGACCATCAAGATCATCAAGAGTGTGCCGGATTTTACACCTCAAGAATTCACAAGGGTTTGCATCCCGGAAACGACCTGACCTCATTGCTTACCTCTGGACCTAGTGACTTTAGACCTCAAAACTAGAGGCCCTAGAGGCTGTGGAAGCGGGTTTGAGTCTTCAGAACCGCATCCACCATGCATTTCGTCACAGGAAGCTCTTCGCTGCCTGGCCTATCGACCAAAGTGGCTCTTGGGAGGAGTGCTATGGCCACTTGGTGCCCTATGTGTATGATCCCTAGCAGCACCCAAACTCTATGGGTCTTCTCAGGCTTTTGGAGACTTCAAAGTGGCAGGTGGTGACCTTTGGGAGGGTGCTGGTATGGACCTGTGGATCTTTTTGTTCCTCAAGAAGGAATCCGTTCTTTTTCGGTAACATTGCTGATATGTGACATGTGTACTATGTGTACCCTTCTAGATCAGATCACTCCAAATCCACCAGTCTTATGCCCAAATCCACCGATCAGATCGACGTCTTGCACCCAGAAACTGAGAGACGTCACATGGTGTCACGATCAGAGACTGTCACGATCCAAGGGTCCATCCGGGTCGATCCAGATCCATCCGGTCCGGCTTGGCTTGTTTAGGCTTAAAGAATCCGACTCTGGACAGTTGGTTGAAGAGACTGTGTAACCGAGGGCTACAAAGGGCTCCAAGAAGACCCACCTTGACGGCCACGTCGGAACATGCGACCAATGATATCCCTACCTCTCGAAGAACTGCAGAACTGCTCGTGTTTCTTCACTGTCACAGATGAGCCAGAAAAAAAAGGTGGATTGATGTAAAGTAGTATTGTGGGATCCTTCGTTCAGAATTCCACGCACCGCCGCAGCTATTTCTGATGTTTTCTGTCTTTGTGGAATGTGTTATTTAGTTGGGGAACGACCCTGCGGACGACATCCAAAACGACATTGGAACGATCTCCTTAACTACGTACATCATGTATTTGCTGCTGCTGCTGCTGCTGCTGCTCTTGCTCCTCTTGCTCCTCCTGCTCGTGCTGTTGCTCCTGCTCCTCCTGCTGCTCCTCCTCCTTCTGCTGCTCCCGCTCCTCCCGCTCCTCCCGCTCCTCCTGCTGCTCCTGCTGCTGCTGCTGCTGGTGCTGCTGGTGCTGCTCCTGCTGCTGCTGCTCCTTCTCCTGCTGCTCCTGCTGCTCCTGCTGCTCCTGCTCCTGCTGCTGCTGCTGCTGGTGCTCACTTTCGATGGACAGTATTTAGCCAGATTTCTCGGCGAAAAACGACCTTTGAACGACCTCTGAACGACGTCCGCATGTCAGTCAGAATGACCACTACTACCTACTACTACTACTACTACTACTACTTCTACTTCTGCTGCTGCTACTACTACTACTACTGCTGCTGCTGCTACTACTACAACTAGTACTACTACTACTTCTTCTACTACTACTCCTACTACTTCTACTACTACTACTTCTACTTCTACTACTACTACTACTTCTTCTTCTACTAACTACTACCTACTACCTACTAACTACTACTAACTACTACTGACTACTAACTACTAACTACTATTATTACTACTACTACTGCTACTACTACTACTACTACTACTGCTCCTCCTCCTACTCCTACTCCTACCCCTACTCCTTTGTACTCCTACTCCGACTGCTGCTGCTGCTACTGCTGTGTTTTTTGTTATTGGTACTACTACTACTACTACTGCTACTACCATGGTTGCCGCCATCACCACATATTATATGAAGACCGCCGCTTGTAAATCATACGGTTTGCTGTTGGGATCATGATTTCGTACCATGTTTTTTCTACCTCAGATGAGTTCACTTTCTTCACAGATGGTACATAGGCATAGTCATACTTGCTCACTAGCGACGCTTTTGCCAGCCTTCAGATCACCCAATCTTCGTATACACTCGGACGCCGTGGTACATGCCCCACGAGCTAGGCGAGCTCTTTGCGGAACCGCTGGAGGCCAAACATCTCAAGGCACTGGAAGAATCCACGTGCTTTGGCTGACAAAAAGTTGGTTTTGTGGGGTCATTGGCTGGATCCTGCTTGGATGGGACATCCAACATGGGTCTTTTGAAACCGGAGGCTCCGTGCCTTATTGCTGCCTAATAAGTCATAGTCTGAAACATCATGTTGCAAAGCAGGAGTGTGGGTGCCCCAAACAGAAGTTCTCTCCCATGCTCCTCCATGTTGGAAGGACGTGCAATCTCTCATCTCCACTGGGCACAGCGGATTATGGGACTACCGAATTCCCCTCTTAAGTAAGAGGTTTAATTGAAACCAGACAGATCACGATGCTTTCAAGAAAGTGACAAAAGTCAAGAGTTATGCTGCTGCTATATTAATCGATAGCCGATATGATATCATCTATGATATCCAAACTTTTCTTGGCAGACAGTGACAGATCCACTGTTGAATCAGGCCTTTTATAGCGTGCATGCCTCCGCCTCAATGGTGCTGGGTTCAGAGTGCCCAGGCAACTCATCCTGCTCGAGCCTGGGGATTTGTTCATCTTCAATGGCCAGATGCCTCACACCGCGCTTTGCTTGGCTGGAGACCTCAACGTGACCTCCTATGCTGCCTGACCGCAGCGACTGAACCATGTGACTGAACCTGACTGCACGCACTTGACGATGATGCGCGAAGAGATTCACTCGGTCAGTTTTTCTTTTGTGCTGACTGGACAAATGGGTTTGGGTCAAAACCCCAGTTCACCGTGCAGAGCCCCATCGTTCACCATGGTTCAAAAGAACAGATGTCAACTGAACTCATGGATTGTAGGGCACTGCGCATATGACCGCCACATTCAGGCACCGTTTCTGCAGGTTACATTGAGCTCAATAAAGAGATCTGAAGATCTGTTGCTGCCGCTGCTGCTGCTGCTGTTGGTGGTGGTGGTGGTTGGTGGTTGTGGTTGTTGTTGTTGTTGTTGTCGTTGTCGTTGTTGTTCGTGGTGGCGGTGGCGGTGATGGCTGTTTTTTTTTTGCTGTTGCTGTTGCTGCATTGCTGGTACTGTTGCTGTTGCTGTTGCTGTTGCTGCTGCTGCTGCTGCTGCTGCTGCTGGTGCTGGTGGTGTTGGTGTTGTTGTTGTTGTGGTTGTTGTTGGAGAACGCGGCATTTAGATTGTTGGATTTGGTGTCAAGTCCCTGAGTTGTGCAAGAAACAAATCCCGCTGCCGTTTCAGGAAGGTTTTCTGAGTCTCCATCCAGAGCATCTTCGGCAGTTCCAGCCGCGTGGTCCAAGATCGGTGACATCCATGGCGACGTCCAAAACCGGATGAGGGCCCAAACCCTGGCGAGCGCCTTCGGGTGAACAACCGGGCCTGCGGGTGTGGAAGATATAGACATGTTTGGCATGGATCTACCCCAGTAAACCTTAAGAGTTGCAGCACAACAATAACTACTAAATATTACTAATAACTAATTCTTGGTTCCCAAGCCTTTCCTGCCATTACAACTCTTAACAGTAACCCAGAACTTCCAATTTTTCTGTACTCCAGCAGTCAATTGTCCACCGCTACTCTCCCTAAGAAAATGAGTCGATTGGACTCTGAGGGTACCGAACTGCTTGCCAGGAACCCCGTCTGCAACTGCTCAGGTCTGTTTGCAACCAGTTCCTGGGCCCCTGGCAGCCACTGGCAGAGGACGAGAGACAAGAGGGGACGGGGCTGGAGATGACAGGTCAGGAACAGAGAAAAACCATTGGCAATTGAGGCAGCCAGGGGCTTCCAGACCTCAAAGCGCCTCAAAGAGTGGATATCCAAGTCATGGGTCGCCAACTAAAGGTTGCATCTTGGGCACGAGCTCTTCCAGCGGATCGGAAAGAGGAGCCCTTATGGCTTTTTGGCCAAGTTCGGACTTTGGAACGACGCCTGTCACGAGACCAGCTGCGGAGCGCTGTGCAGCGAACGGTTGATTCTGCAGCATCGCAACTTTTGGTAGGTCACCGTGCTCTTTGAGCAGAATGGAGCAGAGACCAATGCCCAAAGAAAGGGCCTCAGCAGCTGCTTTGGCAATTCTCCCAAAGCCATTCTGCACCGCAGTGTTCCCCACCACCCCAGTCCGGACTTCCGCAAGGAGTGGAAGCAGGAGCTGCATGGCCAGCTTTGTGAGCTCCAAGAGGCCACGTGTCGATGGAGTCGAGGCGAAGTCGCTGGCGAAGTCGGCGACACCTAAAAAGTTCCCAGACACGGCCAATGGGACTCCATCATCAGATTCATTTGGGGTGCTATACGTTGGGGTGCAGGTAGGCATAATCTTGTCCTACATTGAGTTTGTGGCTTTAGGTGGTTTTATCAATAATTAGAATAGCGATAGTTATAGTATATAATAATTAGTTTTAAATAGTTATGATATGTTATGATTAGTTTTGTAAAAGTAGAATATGTGTGTTTCTTTTTTAAGGTTTGAGGTTATTACAGCCACGAACTTTGCTTACCAGACCCGTTGATGTACGCTTGGAACCATGTTTTCGACCAGGACCCGACTCTACAGGTCTCCCCTGGAGGCTTTTGTGGACTTTAGAGTTGTAGGTCGGTGCAAAACTTCATCATTTGGGGCTCCTCTGCTTTTTTCTTTTGACACGACTGTACCTGGCAAGGGGCACCAAGTGAACACCATGCGGAACAACGGTGCTTCTTTGTTGTTTTGCATTCCTGGTTTGTTGTGCCCTGTGGCAGCACCATATGCACTCATAGACTTGCAGGCGTGGCACACGAGCCAGAAGCTGTTGAGCCAGGCGCAGTGGATCAGGGAAACTCTTTCATCCACCCCCACGGGCCCACAGGGTTGTCGTTGTATCCCGAGTTCCGCCTTCTCAGTGGATGATTTTTTTCAGGACTAGGATCCGGTTGCCTCGTGGAAGCAGCGACCCGCCTTTCCAAGGGGATTGGTTTAACCAAATCAAATAGGATATGTTTGGACATCGAATGAAGTAGATGAACACGGCCTCTGTGAAACTCAGGTGGCCAGAGTTGACTTGTATGGCCTGTTTTTGAAGACTCTTAGCTACCTGTTGAAAGACAAAACAAACATGAGTCATGAGCCTTGTGTGGTTAGAGAATGGTTTTGGACACCCACTCCTTGCATGTATATTCTAGTTCGACAGGTTCCGTGGGTGTGTTTTTCCTCACAACGAGCAAGATAACATGTTCTTCGGGACCCACCCAGACAACCACGGTGTGGGTATCACAGCTCAGCCGGGCACAATCACCTCAGCCTGACCGCCGCGGTGACGAACTGAACTTGCCATGTGACCAGCCGCTGTCCAGGATGGTGACCGGCCACTGCCTGGTCTGGATGAACGCCTCATAGCAGCCTTTGTGGTGCTTGAAGAGGGTGCACAGTGCTGTGTGACCACAGAGGAAGGCACCCGGGAGGGATCCCTACGTACAAAAACAGAGAGGTTGTTTAATTAGAGACCACCAAGTACATTTACCATATATAGTATATATATATATATATCTAGTCTAGGCTGTGTGTTTTCCAATGTTTTCCATATTCAAAACAAATACTACAGTAAATATGTTCTCAATTTATGAGAATCAGTTGGTTTTCTATGTGGAACCGGGGATGGACTCGAGGAGTTCACCCGCGGCTTCCTTCCTCCGAGTTCGTGCAGGTGGAGAGGGCGACGAAGGGGAACTTCATGGAGAAGAGGAACCTGCAGCACCTGCCCTGAAGCGGCGGAAAACCAAAAAGGGGCGAGTCCCTGGACCGGGCAGCGCAGTCCGGTCGAGTCCGTGGAAGGGGACTGAGCAGGTTTAGCGAGGTGCTGACGAAGATTTCAGGTTTAACGACTTGACCTTGTCAACTCCCATTATACACCACAGTGGCGTCTGACATGTGACCATACTCCTCTGCCAAATGAGCCTTGATGGAACAACATCACAGTTTGTCTTTGCGGAGTTTGTTTCTGACTTAAAGATTGGCCACACCCGAAGTTGGGGAAGAAGAACTTTGCAAAGACATTTGTCCCGACCACAATGAAACTTAAGGACAAGAAGCAGTAAAGGCGAACAGTTGTCAGCAAACCACAGGGATCATTTGAATTTAATTACATTGTTTGGTGGGTGGAAGGCCAGTGTCATATTCCTTTTTCAACAATTACAGTATTTGATTTGTATATGCATTTGTATGCAGTATGTTTCAAAAGTTTCAATCCTTGTTTGATAATCTGACCACCTCATTGATCAGAGATCTTGATTTATCATCTATCCTTCTCTGAGCTGGGCTCTGAGATGATGTGGGCTTTGAGAGGTTCCTCATTTGAGAACGCTCCATGGAAGGGAGGCGAAAAGACTTGAGAGGTCACGATGCTGCTTGAATGGATCTTCCAGCATCTCTCAAGCTCCACCAGTCTACTTCACCTCAGTTGACTGCCTCCGCAACAGAGGCTTTTGATCATATCACATCCAAGCTGCTGGTGGCCTGTAGAGCCCTGTTCTGGCACTGATTCAAGGCCAGACACTTTATCATTATATATACAGCGCTGGTTTACCAGAAGTTCTATGATGACTTTCCTCAGGTTTCTTTCACTCACTGTAAATGCGATTCTGAGACCCTTCCATCTCTCCACCCTTCGTGCCGCTTTCCTTCGCGTCCCTCTCCGCGCCGCGCCCCCCGCAGCTTGGCGGAGATCATGTATGGCGACTTCTTCGACCGGAACGAGAAGCAGTGCCGCTCTCGGCTCGGCAGGACACCGGCAGGACAGGAACCACGGTGGGACGAGTGGCCGGAGGGGACGTGCGACACGCAGTTCGGTGGTGCGCAGGCGGAGATCCAAAGGGAGTGTGAGATGTTTGGCCGGGGAGAGCTCTTCTTCCAGGGAGTCGAACTAGGAGGCCTCCCTATTGTAATACACAAGGTCTACCATGCAAGGAAGTTTCTAGCCAGAATGTTCCATATACTATATGTGGGATTACCGGGGGATGGCCTAGGGTTAGTTTGACTAGCTCCGTTTGCAGAATTGCAGAATTTGGGGGCCGCAGTATTTTGAATCAGTTCATTTTGACCACCGTCTACTGAACAATATCTTTAAGTCAAACAGAGTCTAAACGTTTGAACTACCGTAAACATCGTTTCTTTTAGAGTCTATAGAGCTTTCTTAGCCTTTGCCAGGTTCAGGATGCCTATTTTACTTTGATGATGCACCTTTCACTTTTGATGTTCTCTCAGATCGAACTCCCCGGTCTCCCCGTCGTCGCTCATCGTAGCTCGCCGCGAGGTACGTGCAAGCGACCGATCCCGCGAAGACGCAGCTCACCTTCGAAGAAGCTTTGGAGGTCGGGGGCCGATCACAACGACGTCCCCAGAGATCCATCGGACGGACCTACCCATCCAACATCATCCGGACCCAGACACCAGACACGACCCACGAGCTGTTTCGGACTTGGGACTGGAAGAGATGCCGAAATATTCACCCCTTTTTCATCCTGTTTCAACCGCCCGAGTGTATGCAAATATGAGCAAATATGGCACACATGGAGCGTTTGGGCATGTTTCATCCGTTTTCTTGTGTCCAACCTGCCGGCCGAGACGTCATAGAGGAACTGGTTCCTCCCGTCTCAGGTCATCCCTTTTATCAAGTGACCATGTCAACCGGGACAGCCTGTCGACCATCCTCTTGTCGACTCTTTGTTGGCCAAAGGGGGAGTCCCAGAACTCCTGCACCATTTCTTGATTTGTATATACGTCAGTCATCAAGCTCGGGGGACCCGCGCGGCGGCGGGGGCAGAGGAGAACATCCGTGGGGCGTGGTATGTTCGATGTGTGCTAGGAGTACAACGGCATGAACGCCAGCAAGATGAACCTGGTTTTCTTCAAGGTGACAGAACTGAGCACTGGCGCGCTCTCGCCAGCGAGCCCGCGAGCAGATCCGATTTCGGAATAGGCTAGGGTTTATTCGGGATACTAGGTTTTGGGTTATCTGGCTTCAGAAGGGAATTGTTTTTTTTGTTGTGCAGTTGGCATTTACATCTTTGATTACAGGACTTTTGATTAATTATGGGAAGAGCCATCTTGTTTTGTGTGTGAGTTGGTGCTCTTCCCTACCGAAAGCGTCTCCGGAAAGGAACAGCGAGAGCTGAATCGCCTGGTCTCCTTCCACATCCCCACGTGTGGGCCACTGTGGATAGACCTTCCGGTTGGTCAACACGGGAAGCTGCCGGGACCGACCACCAGTCGATCCAACGGGTCACGCCCGGGCTGGCAGGATGCTCAAGAGCACCTGGCGCGCGCCTCGCGGATTATCCGCCAACCACGAGGCTGTTGGGCCGAAGGATGTGTAGCTCGACCCCTAAGGCAACGACAACCCTTTGGGAGGATCAGAAAATCGACGAGTCTCCCCAGCCAGGAGCGATTGGTCTCCTGGAGTTCAACTACACACCCTTTATTCATCATGGTTCCATTTCTAGCTTTTTGAGGTTTTTTGGCGTGGGTGATTGGGGAGTTCAGTCCGCCTAGAAGCAAGGTGATGGTTATTATGGTTGTTGCGTATAGCAGTTCAGAGACCTCTGCAGTTGTAGACGAGTTGCGTGTTTTGGTTGGTTAATGCTTTGTGGTGTTGGAAGGTTTAGAGCCAGCTAGAGCTTCTTTCTGGACTTTTCCAGATTTCCTGATCAGCCTGGTCTTGAGAGCAGAGCTTGGAGGTAGCTTTTGACGCTTGCTCCACTGTCGAAGAACGAAGTCTACCACCTGAGATGCTCCATCTCCTCTTTAAAGTGCTTTCTACCTCGGAGTTGCCAATGATTTGCTTCCATTCCGCAGGTCAGGAGATGAACCGCTCAGCTAGCTGAGTTAGCTCCTGGCTCCAAAAAAGAGGTCGACCCAAGCCACAAGACTCCACATGAGCAACCACTTTTATTTACCCTAAGGCTCCACGTACCTTCTAAGAAGGTGTTTGGGGTGGGTTTAGAGGGTCCAAGTACCTTCTGAGGAGGTACTTGGAGCCCTAGGGTTAGGCTTTACTAAAGTATTTTACGGCATGCTCTATGTGCTTGTCTATCATCAGTATTTGCTTGTGAACGAGATAGGGCCCCCACATAAACGAGATACTTTTGCTTGATGACACTAAAGTAGGCTGAACGAGATAGTATGATTTGCTACTAAAGTAGTCTGAACATGTCTGAACGAGATACTGTGACATGACCTCCTACTTAAGTAGTCTAAACGAGATAGGGCCCCACAGCGGCCCCACATAATAGATAGTGAATTTGAGTTTAGTATCAAATGAAATAAATACATGTATTAATATATATATTTATATATTAATATATATAAATGCCGTCGCACACATGTTTTCGTCGTCCATCCAGACCTGGTGGGTTTGGATGGGCAAGAAGGCCAGAATCTTCTAACATTGACCAGGGCCCCCGCTGTGGGGTGGTTAATACAGACCCATTAACCTCTGAGCTATTGTTGGGCCCCCCTGAAACGGCACCAGGAGCGACGCAGTTCCCCAACCCTGACAGCTAGTGACATTCATCCGGCTCGACCATTCCTTCAGGCAACGCCTTGTTAGTGGGTGTGAGTGGTGTGGGCCGGAAGAGCATGGCTCGGATGGCGGCCCATATGGCGGAGGCAAGAGTCATCGTGCGGTTCTTCTGGGTCTGAGTCCGGGTCGGTATAGTCCGAATGGACTCGCACATGTTTTGGATCGTTGACTGTTTAATTTGTTTAAGACCGTTTCAGTCAGCCTCCAACATTTTGGTTTGGGGATCTTTAGTGCAACGATCGAAGAAGACCTGCAAGATTTGGAAGGGTAGCCACCGCGAGGGAATTCCTTCGATTCCCAGTTTGGAACTGGATACCCGGAGACCCAAAGGAACATGGGGCTTGGAGTCATTGGAGTCGAGACACGGAAGCTCAAGTGTACACATCCTGTGTGTGGGAAGGTCTTTTGAAGGATATTTCAGTGCGGCTTTGGAGTTCTTCTCTGGCCAACCGGGTTTCTGGCTTTGGGTAGGTTGACGGGTAGGTTGATGGTGGGTTTGGAGTGAGTTATCCACGTGAACGGAGCGCAACATTTAGCACATCTGCTCGAGCCCAAAGCAATGGCACGTAAGGGTGTAACTCGTTGCAAGGCAACCATTCCAGTTTGACATGCAGAGTTTGATGGAATACAGGATCTCTCATTTTTTGTTCATCCGACACATACCTGGAACTTCCTCAGAGTGCTTTTTATGTGGTTCACAGACCGTAAATAATCGTTTGTTGAGCAACCGACCAAAAAAAAAGCAACCACGAGGTTGCAGGTATCATCCCTTTGTAAACGTATGTGTTTCGTGTTTCTGATCCACAAGAGCTTTCGCCTCCCATGGCCTTTGATGAAGCCCTTTGGCAGAGCTTGCAGCAATGCGACCAGGCTGCGGTGGCAGTGTGAATGATCCCAATATGTGTTTGAGACATCTCAGAAGGAGAATACAAGGCAAAATCACGGCCTAGCCCCCTCCAATCAATCACCTTATTCACCAGGAAAGGAAAGGCAAGGAAAGAAACAGGGTCAAGCTCATAGTCATAGGCCCCCTAGCCTTCCAGTTTCCGCTACAAAGTGCATAACTACCCGCACAAACCCTATACATCCCTATATCTAGAAAAACATATACAAAAACACCAGTGGCCCAAACAAGTTGAAGAATACCTTTGTCGTTGCTAGGTTCGCCGCTCCGGCCATTCCTATCGTCAGTTGTGGTACTCGTCAGACGCCTGTTCGATGTGTATGATGCATATATACACATAGTCGCAATAGTAGTTGCAATCACTCAGTGGTGGCAAATTTCCTTCCAAAACCATCCCGTCCCAAACTAGTACAAATTTGGCACCCCATGTCCCTGTTGTCGAATTGTAAAATTATGATAAATTATGTTGCTTCCATTTTGCTTGGGCTTGGGCCCCCTGCAAGTCACATAGAATTCAATCAATTCCTTTTCTGAGTGTTTTTTTTTTCAAATCATGTACAGTACATATGACTTCGCGCTGGAGTTTCATCCTTTTCAGACATTGCACCACACTTGACTCAAACACAAACTCAAAATCATGTCATATTTGGACGGCATGACAAGAAATGGTGCAACGCTGAGGCAAATTTCGCACGGTCAAGGAAGCTCCAAGCGAAAGTTGGTGTTGCATCTTGTCCTGACTAAGGACATCGTCAACGCAGTATGTTCACATTCAAGAATATTCCTGGCTTGCCAACTCATCTCTAGACTCTAGACATCAATCCAATCTGCATTTGTTCAACACACCGTGACCTGCGACTGTTGGTCACCAGCACCATTTCAGAGGAGACCTGTTGGAGGCTGACAGGCAATTAAACTGTCCACTCCTTTTGCCAAATCTAAGCAATACAAGCAAAGAGACCCAAGGGTGCTACAGAACATAGACACTTGTGAGCAAATACAAGTCATCTAGATACCTGGATTGAATAATGTGTTTTTGTTTTTTCTCACGTGAGAAAAACAACCACATATTTATTCAATCCAAGTCATGTATGATACACGAAAATTACACAAATATGTGTATATAAATGTATATATATATACCTAGCACTTCCAATGGGTGTCGGGTGTCCAATGGTGACCTATAAGCAGTTTAGGGTAGTCCATTGGTAACCCCTTGGAAGCAGCTGGTCACGGGCTGCTTCGAATTGACCCCCGCTTTTGCCCTTTCGCCGCATTGGACCGTCCGATCATGAAGTAGGCCATACAGTAGCTACATATGTTGACTCAGACATGATGCCTGTGCGGAAAAGGGTTCTATGTGGGGTTCTACTTGGTACTCCAGAACCGGGGTCACTCAGGTTCTATATGTAGCAAACATTTGCCATCCCAACAGATCTTTGGAGATGCCGATTGGATCCGAGGCCATGAGTATAATGCCACAGGCCTTTGCAATCGATCAAGCTGTCCGTTGGCGAACAGCCACTACGCTACGGTGGTGAAGGATGGTGCTCATTATTGCTGGGCTCCCAGGTGATTGGACGCGCTGAAGACTGTGCCACTCCATTGAGACTGGGATGGGGTTGAAGTCATATCGTTACCAAATACCAAGGCCTCTGTCAAAAGACTCCCACAACGAGCTGGACGACTGTGAAGTTGTGCAAGAGCTTGGCAGATGCTTGCGCTCAATAGTTTTAATATACCAGACACTCCATGTAGGCCATATATGCCGATCAGTTGGGGTGGTTTCAGGGGTCAATGTAGATACATGGAGTGTTTGGGTGTGTTTTCATGGAATCCCTGGTCTCGAGGGAACTGGGATGACCAGAAACTCTTCACTTTGAGGTGGAGACATCACCTACCTGGTCTTTAAATATTCATCCAACGAGCTTTGGGTGTACATCAATGGGGTTAGATCAGACACGTGTTTTCAAAAATGAGTGTTTGTCGCAAATTCTCAACATCTTAGTTGTTGTGGAATTGGTGGAATTGATGCCTTCTTAAACTTGGACATGCTTATATATACACAAGTGTGACCGGTTGCAGTGAGAATGAGATGGCGCTTCATGGACTCGGACTCCCAAGGACTCCGAAGGACGGACGGTTCTTCACCAAAGGGTTTCAGACTGGACCGATGTGACAAAAAACTCAAAACGGTCGCTATCACAGCTTGTGAGGGGTTTCCCAAAACTGTTTGGTGAGACTGGTCTTGGATATGTTTTAAAACACCTGATTCAACCAGCATCTCGAGTACCTGCTGAAATGTTTGGTCACACACACATGCCCTCCTTGCTTCATTCTCTAAGGCCGCTCCACGGCGCCTGGATCAGCTCTTGGAAGCCTCCCCGGAAGTGCTGGCGCGAGCACATGTGCGTGGCTCGTCCCCGGAAGTGCTGGCGGTGTCCAGATGACCAGAAACCACCACAAGTACCGAGGGTCCGGGGTCCATTTGGACCACCTGTACCGACCTGTGGGTTGAGTTCTTCAGTTCCAGACACATCCAGACACCACTGAGGAGGTGAGGAAGTGACTCCATGGCCACTTACTCCGTCCTCGCGAATCCTCGCGAATCAACAGGACCTTTGCATTTGACCTTGTGGATCCTATAGTTGTATAGCTGAGAGCACTATTTGTCCACTCTAGGAACCAGGGTTTCTAAGCCTATATGGTTTAAGATGGTTTAAGTCTTTGGAGCCACTTTTTACCTATGGGTCTGTGGCTATCCACTCGGTCTGATTAGGATCCGTTGATTTTTTTGCGAGACATATGGGGCTTTCACGAGCCGTCAGGTCAAGGACCTCATCTGACCGGTTCGGTCATACAAAGCCGTACTCAATGAGGTCAAGGACCAAGTTCAACTTAATCCTTGGACTGTTAGGGTTCTATAGTATCAGAACACTGCTCCCCTCGGTCTCAAACCGGGTCCCCTTTTCACCGTGTGGCGTGCCGAACGACGGGATCGTACGATCGCCCGAGCGTCCAAGGCCTCCGATCGCTCCAAAGGGCCCATGGCAGCGAAGCGCTCGTGGGCGAAGCCGGGGGCCACGAGCCGCTGCGGAAGGCCCGGTCGTTTCGGGGAGAAACAGCGGTGAGGACAATGGGTTCAGAGATGGTGAAGGCTGGTGCCGCTGGGCCAACGTCGCGTTCTTTCAGGTCCAAAGACCACACCAAATCCATCCGAGATGGTCCTGAACTGGGCTGCGTCGGATCACAGGTAAATGCGACGCAGCGGCGCAGAAAATGAACAAACATGGAACCTATCACTTCCAAAGGGTGTCCAATGGTGACCTATAAGCAGTGTAGGGTGGTCCATTGGTAACCCCTTGGAAGCAGCTGGTATACAGTTTTTGCTTTTTTTGATGTTTCAAGGAGATTCAAGGGTTCCAACATGCTCACGTCAGAAAACTTGGCAGCCTATTCTTTCAAACTTGAATCCAGGATTGAGCATGAGGGTGGTGTGACGGTGGTGGACACAATAAATTGGATTGGTCCTGTCATTAAGCTGTTTTTTTGCCTGTCGTCAGCACCTCGCACCACACCCGAGGAGCTCTTCCGTTCCATCGGCTTCGTGTTAGTTGATGCACCCACTCAATCGCAGGTGGCTGTGAACAAGAAGGCGGACAAAAGGCCTCGCATTTGGCAAGAAGATAGGACAAAACTATACAACACTCAAGCTGTAGTGACTTTAGCTCAAGCGGCCTTTTGGCAGCATCCTACTTCCTGCTTCAAATTCCATCAGTGTGTGGCAAGATCGCTTGTGATGTTGCGCTTGCCAAGCGCAGGGAGAACAAAAGTGAGAGGAAGGCTGAAGAGACAGCAAAGGTTGAGTCTTCTGTTGGGCAGGAGAGACATGGACCAGGCAGCTTTCGGCCAGACATCTCGTATCCAAAGCCAGCAGCTGCAGGTCGTTGATGTGTTTCGCCCATCTCTTTCACGTCTGGTGCTGTTCCGTGACCCTTCGTTGGTACAGGAGCTCTTACGAAGATTGCGACAAGGCCTTTATGCTCCGAAGATGGCAGCGAGGCGCGGCAGCTAGGCCTTTTCGTGCCTGTAGGGCCGAAAACGGCAGGGTTTCGGCTGTCCAGACCTTTTGGGCAACGGACTTCCAACCGAGAACTCTACCGTCACTCCAGCTATAGAAGAAAGGAGGACATGTCCTTCTTTGTAACTGAGAAACTAGTCTTCCAGGATCTTTCAGGTATACGGTTGCTTCCTTTCGTTTTCCCCACCCAGATTTTGTGCAGAAGTGACCACCCGTCCTATCGTGCTCCCTGCTGCTGCAGGGCATCAGCCGCAGTCCAATGACAAACAAGACAACGGACAACAAGCTCTAAAACTGACAACACAATCAAATCCCCCAAACAGAAATACAGACAACACGGCAAGAGACAAGAAACAGTGACACGGACAACACAAAGTAACCGCACAGAAGCACCCTGGCCCAACCCAGTGATTCAGCCAGTGGCTGCCACTTCCAGTGGCAGTGTGATGTCCCCACCCAAATAAGCATGGACAGCACTCGATGACAAAGACGACAAGAGGTACAAACAATGAAGGAGATAAATTGAGATCAGTGACAACACCCAAATGTAACGACAACGGTTCGTTCCCTATGCTGTTCCAGACAAGACAAGGCCACTGACAAGACAACAGCAGACTACCTGGGCGAGTATGTTTGTTAATTTGGTTGGTTCAGGTTATCTCCATTTGTTATTCACGTGGCGGGTTGGTTGGTTAATTAGTTAACACGTCAGGTTTGGTTGGTTCAGGTTATCTAATTAGAGTTATCACGTCTTGTTATTCGATGACGGAAAGCACGCTGTATGCCTCGCAAAAACGGATAACCGGATAACTAATAATTACAATTCGTGACCATTCTCCGCGATGTTTGGCGAGTGGACAGGTGCAATGAAGAGCTGCCACGCGAGATTGAGGAGTCTCGGAGCACAAACGCGCAGTAGGTGTTGTTCAAGAATGGCACGTACAATGAGAAGTGCGGATAAAACAGGTAGATATTCACTTATACAATCACCGTGGTGCCAACCTCTTGCCAAACAGGATTTCTGGTGTCTCTTTTTTACGCACAGCATGGCGCTGTTTTCAGCCATCTAGACTTGGTACAACCTCGAATTGAAGGGTTGATTTTCAATGAGGACCTGAATGCTGCAGGTTGCTTGGCCGGTGCAGTTGGCGGGTGCCCCATGAAAAAGTGCCCTTGGCTCTGGTAGATGGACTGATCGTTGTATTCCTATCCCTTCGACGCGGAGGTGGAACAACTGCTGACAGCCGAGCACGGTCTCATGTCTTTCCGGTGAAGACGAAGAGTGCTTGAGTTGGATTGGACAAGAAACCCATGAAAAAGGACCACCGCCCTCCCCCATAAAAGAATTGGACATAATAATGTATTACATTGATGATATTATATGTGGTTTGAATGTGTTTCAATCGGTAATCCTCTTAAAGGATCGAATCACATTGTCTCAGATATTTGAAGGTTCCACGTGTGAGTCTTGGCCGCTGTCAACGCCGTTTTGGGCTCGCGGCCCGCTGAGGCACGGCCGGTCCACACGGATCAAGGGCGATGGAGCTGAAGCGGAAGCAGCGAGAAGTGGAATACGAGTTGGAGAGCACCAGGCAATACCAAAGGGATCAACGAAGTGATCGAAGTGTCGTGCTGAACAAAAGAATCTCCGAGAGTAAGAGAATAGGAGTCAGAATGTGATTCTGCCATGTCGGACTCTTTCATTCTGCTGATGTTCACCTCCAAGAGTTTGTTTTCTTCGAAACGAGACCGCAAAGTCGCAAAGTGGATATATAGGTCCCCACCGCCGCTACAGATGGACGTGAATCAACAAATACACTCATATTATACTATAGACTATATATATACTGTAGTATAATACTAGCATATAATATATAGACTACTATAGTATATCAATACCAACATGGTATATCAAATAGCAGCCTTGGTTGGTTATTGGATTCCTTGGATCCACTGCAAAGTATTAGAGAGAGAAACCGGCGCCTACCCTTCCAGCCGTGCGACCTTTGTAGCCAACGGTTCCCAACCAATCCTTTCACATAGCGCAACTTGCTATGAATTCAAGGTCACGCTATGGAGGACCGGTCGCATGGGTAACCATCATGGCTTGTCGATGTGGATTCTGGTCACTGATTTGACCCCGTCTCAGAGGAATCTTCCGACAAGAATCGCGACGGGACCGGATCGGGGCTCTGCAAGGAATTGGTGAGGACTTCCCTGAATCACGCAATGGTGGTTTTTTATTTTAAAGGCAGGAACAGAAACGTGAATGTGTTCAAATATGCTCAAAGACCAGATCACGAGGGCTGTTTTTGGAGGAAACTGATGACATGACCACCCGTCTCGTTGGTGCGTTCAGACTTTTTGGGCCTTTTGCTTTGAAGGTTCATTTGCCCCATACGTTTGCCACCTGATGACCACTGTTTTCGCCCCAGGTCATGAAGAACTTGGCTGGCCGGTGAAGTCCGAATGGACATTCTGAGGTTTATAAGGCCTGAATACATACCGTATATGGAGGTCATGAAGGTTTACAATTTGTGAAGATCCTGAAGAACTACCATGACACCGAATGGAAATCTGGATGACTCATGGAGTTCATGGGATCTACCAGAATCAAGATCAAGATCGGCCTGTTGCAGGTGACTTGAAATCTGCACCCCATGCCCAGTGTTTTGGATCTATGTGAACAAATGGAGTCATGATGAGTCATGGAGTACTTCAAGACACTGTTGCAGATGCAAGTTTTACTTGGGAATGATGCAGAAGTGGGTTGCCAGATGGTTGTTGGGGCGTAAGCAGTGCTGTGACAGGATGCACAACAGCATACAACAGCCCTTCGCAGTCTGAAGCTTGGCAGTTGTCGTATATAATTGAGCTGCGTTCATGAGAATTGTTCAGAGGATTCTCTCCGTTGTTACTCTTTGCTGAACATCCAGTTGGGGCTCCATCTCACGCGGTGGTGACAGTTGCGCGAACCTGTTGTGCCACACTTGGACTGGAGCACTGCAGCTGATTCCCAAAGACTTCATATTATACTGATTCCCAAAAGTGCTGAGAGCAGATGGCACCGAAATCGGTTGTCGCGCAGCCGTGCTGGTCGCAGAACAATAAGTTTTTGCTTGGAAGCAATCTCCTCGCAGAAAGCATCAACCTGATGCACTGATGCCCTCATGAATCGTTTTGCCTCTTGAGCATGTTTTGCCCCATTTATTACTTGTACTGCAAGTACAAAGTGGCAAGTGGAGTATACACTCTCGTCTTCCCCGACTGGCCAAAACAGCCTCACATGAGTTCGAGGAATGGATGCATTGTTCTGTGGAGCGTGGAAATCAGGTACTTCTTCATGGTGAGCTGAAATACTTCTTGAATCAGATCTCGCGGATGCCAAGAACCTCAAACAGTTCGGACACAATGGAAGACTACATCCTAAAGGCACTATTTTTTTGTAATATGGTGCATTGGTAGATTGAAGGCACATCGGACCCTGCCAGATCACCGTGTACTGCACAGTTCACATCGCCGTGACGCTGATATGCCATGTTTGCTTTGCCACTCCGGCCCCAAGTGAAGTGCAGTGACCATACCGTTCACCAACATGAAACCGGACTCAATGACCAGTACGTGGCTTTCGTACTGATATTTGTGGTCTCTTGCATTCAGAACGTGTCCACCGTGTGGCGTGGATGTGCTGTGGACACTGAAGCAAGGTCAAAAGGATGGTGACGAAATCACAAACGAAACCTGCACAAAGAATAAGTGAAGCACAGTGAGCGGTCAGTGGTGTTGCTTGCACAAGGTCACGAGGAATCTTCAACTCGCCTTGCATTTGTTCGAAGATTTGAAGGAGGCCTCACAAAAAGCAACGAAACTCAGGAGTCCAGAGGGTGGGCAAGACAGAGTTCAACAGTTTGGCATTAGCTGATTGATGTCCACATTGAACTGAAGTGAAGCCTAAGCTTCTGACTTGGGACGCGCTACCGCTACCTTTCGCTACCTTGACCTTCCCGCCAAGAGGGCAGTGCTTACCAGAAGCCAGACACGTGTGAAAAGGGGCTAACCAAAATGTCAGTGAAGTTTCAGGACGAGCTAAATAATCGAATAGAGTGACATCGGAAACGAATGAAACAAAACATGTCACATGTCCAGCTTTGCCTGCGTTTCACACCTGGCGAGCGAACAGGGCAAGCACTAGATGCTGTTACTTGTCTTCTGATGAAATATGTAGCTTGTGAAGCGGTGAGCGAAAGGATGAGATGCTCACAGCCCAACTCTTTGCCTCCAAAGCAGGCGATATACGCATATAGGTCTTAGATTTAGATGTGTTCGGTCCTTCAAATGAATACTGCCCACCCGGGGCACGTCAGTGACATGCCCTGCGGCCGTGTTTCGACCGCTTCCTGCTCCAGCTCACCGCGCCCGGTCGACCTTGGGAGACCTCGGCCCCGCGGATGGAGGCCTCGGCGGTGGCGAAGGCCTCCGCGGACGAGGCGCGGCGGATTTGCCGGGAGATCCGGCGGATCGGCGGCGGCGATCGACGCTTGGATGGGCGGATGTTTGGGAGGGGATGGAGTCAAGAAGGGTGGAGAAGCAAGGAGGTGAGCAGATTTGATGTGGCTCATGACTCACACGAAAAGAACAAAAAGAACCTGTTTGTATATACTATACAAATTACATAATTAGTCTATTTCGGGATGATTTGGAGGATTCAGACTCGATGCCTTACTAACCTTACTACTTTGGCCAGGTGGGTCATATTGTGTAGCTCCAGCGGCAGATCTGTGATTTTTGCCCATCCAACACTTCAATGACTCATGGCCGGGGATTCCGGTGCGGTTTAGTTCGCACCTTTTCTGCCCTTTGCTTCGAATGGAGTGACCTAAGGAGTGACCTTTGGTGAACTGGTGAAGGATGAGATCGTCGAACAGACCTTCGAAGCCTTGATGGGCACCTTGAAGGCGGCACGAAAGCCCCTCGGCCAGGGGACCTGGACCTGGTGAAAGGATCGTCCTCGCTCCGGGCTTGAATGTTTGAATGTCTGAGGTCGGGTGACGGAAACTAGATATGAAACCATGAAAAAGAACGGCCAGGACCTTCAGTACGTGACCTCTTTGGAGTCTGTAAGTGACCTCTTCAGGGACTAAGTGACCTCATTCTGGATCTCAAAAGGTCACTTTGAAGGTCCTATTTTGGTGACACAGATTTTCACAACCGTGGAGGCGTTCACATTTTTTCCCCAAACAGTTTACTGTTGCGGTTCTATCTTAGAAAAACAGAGCTGGCCACACTCACGTGCCCCTGAAATGTGTGGCTGGGCTCTGTGGCCCGGCTCTGTGTCCGGGTCTTGTCCTCCTCTTGTCCTTGTCTTGGCCGCGCCCCTGAACTGTGGCTGGGCTGTGTGGCCCGGCTCTGTGTCCGGGGGTGCAGTTCCCAAACAGCTGGAGGCTTTAGAAAAGTATACTTGCATTCGTTTCCACCAGCATTTGAATTTTCGGAGTTGACGCCAACACCGAAAAAATGCTGACGCTGTTTGGGGTCTATGCTGGTATAAGGTTGTTTCTTGTACATGCATACGGCATGTCTAAGCAGTTGGGGTGGGGTGGGGCATGTTAACGTTCCTGTGCACTTGCGTGGAGTGTTGATGCTATTGGTTATGTTAACGTTCATGTTGACTGGGGTGGGGTGGGTGGGGCATGTTAACGTTAATGTGCACTTGCGTGGGATGTTGATGCTATGGCTTATGTTAACGTTCATGGTAACTGGGACGGGGCTGGGTGGGGCATGTTATTAACACAGATGAAGACACGTCAGGGTGAAACCCTGAACGGAAAGATCGGGGAGAGAATCTTCCAATGGATCTATTGGCATAATTCCAGAGTATGACACCGCAACCAGGCAAAGCAAAAAATGACCGCTTGACAACTTTTCATCGTCCGTTGCGCAATTCCATGTTTTTAAAACGTGCTCAAAACGCAGGCGACTTGCTCACCCACAATCACAAACGCACGGTTGCGAGAAGCCGTGTTACATTGCTTTTAGTTCACTAAAAGTATCATAAGCTATCCAGTGTCAAAAGCCAGTGTTCAATATTGAGTACCGCTGCTGTGTTTCCGTTGTTTCTCGCTGCTCCACTTGGGACATGATGGGGTCAGGATTCACAGCAATCACCACCCCCAAACAGGAACGCCCGCCAAGCTGGAAGTACGTACATGTACCTCCCTCAAATACCACTATATATGCAATACTATGCATGACACGAACACCAACTGTTTGATGACCTGTCAGGGTCCTGGAAGGTTCACCGACAGGGATTTGCAGCCTGAAAACCAGCCTCCCGAGACGTCGCAGGAAAGGCTTCATTGCCTTCGAGGGGGAACTCCTCTTGCAAGGTCAGCATGATGCAGTCGTCATTTCCATCACCGCGCCTGAGTTCAAAGCAAGTAAGCAGCAAACGAGTCGTAGAAGGCTGACAGAAACCAGGGTAGGTTCGCTTGCAGGATCTTGCAGGTAGTACAGAAAAGGATGAAATCAGACTTAGCAGACTCCTTGTGAGATATAGGTGGACTGAGAGTAGATGGCAGGTGGTTTAGATGGAACCCCATCTAAAAGACCTTTTGGATCCTTTTGGGTTTTTTGCCATCGAACCTCTGAAACCAATGTATGTTGCTGTTCACAATTTGTAAAGACAGTGACTTATTTTTATATTCGTAGGGTCTTTAAGTCGGTGGGTCTGGTAACCATCTCCTATCTATTTTAGAGATGGAAAGACCTGCAACCAGGTCCCATCATCTGGGCCTAGGGAATGGGATATACCCAATCTGTGGTAGGAATAGACTATCACACTTCTGAACAGCGACTCGGTCTATCATGTCCCAGAAACAATCGTTCGCTTTGGGAAACAGTGGTTTTGTGCCAATGATCGTGGCTGCATCTTGGGACCAGCAATCCCTACAGCCCCATTCATTGACTATCTAAAGCGGAAAGGCTGGAACTGTCACAGCCCTTCGGGTGAGGCAATCGAAAAAGCCGGTCTTCGAGTATATATATATATATTATTAATCTATATGGATACAGTATATGATATATGTATATGTAATATATGTATATGTGCAAGTATTCCTACCATCCTCATGAATTCTATATGGACCTGTAAGGATTTGATTCTTTTCACTTCACCCCAGGAATCTGGAGCCAATGCTCCAGATGACGCTGATGCAGATCCTCCACCACGCACCGCAGAAGCCGGCTACACGGCGCCTGCAGCGGAGCCGGCGCCGGCTGCAGCGCCCGTACCCGCGGAGGAGCCTCCCACCACGACCAGTCGGCAGGGCTCAAAGCAGTCAAACAGAAGCGACGAGAAGTTCCAGGTGGACATGTCGCAACTGGGCCACAAGGCGGCGGCGGCTGAATTTGGGATCACATAGGTCCAAACGCCTGCAGAACAACTGGACTTGTGGGGGTAGGATCGGCGTACCTTTTGGTTTCTCGATGAAAAGTCAAAGGGTGGAGAAAGTGTTGAGCTTTCGCTTCAAGGAAAGAGCTTCGGGTATTGCTTTAACCGCAAAGACACAGCTATCCACGGGGTCCTTGCGGGGTCTTTCCATGTCCTCCCATCCTGCTTTTGGGCGTCCACCTGCCTCCGTCCACGCGTGTCCACCTGCCTCCGCTCCGTCTCTCGTGGAAGCGCCCCGTCCGCCCAGTGAGGTACATCAATCATCGCACGGGCGAGGTGGACCGGCTGGAAGGCCGTCGATCAGTGCTGGCTGGAAAGCCCGCCGAGGGTCCGGTACCTGGGCAAAAAAGAACGGAAAGCGCATGATGCTTGAAGGAAGTCAAGGAAGTCATGGTGATGGAGGTAACACATGGTTTGCAAAGACAAAGACAGCCCAAGGACCACGGTGGCTTGTAGTTGGGCAGAGTTGTTGTTTCAAGGTTCCATGTTTGTTTCTTCATTGTTCATTTGTTTTCGAGAGCTTGTATGCCCTTGTATACCACGTAATTCCGGCATTCATGAGACAGCTTGGCAGGTATGAGCCCTTGGGCTTTCTGATGTGGTTTGGTAGCGGGGTTTGCCAATCAATGAGTCATATTCCTGATTCGTTGTCAGAGAGAACCAAGGGGAACGTAGGTAGGTAGGTAGGTACGTGGGTACGTAGGTACGTAGGCATGCATGCACGCAGGCATGTTGGTATGTAAGTGTGTAGGTATGTAAGTATGTATGCATCTATATATTTAAGTACGTAAGTATGTATGTGTGTAATGTATGTAATGTATGTATTGTATGTGTGTATTGTATTGTATTGTATTGTATTGTATTGTATTGTATTGTATTGTATTGTAATGTAATGTAATGTAATGTAATGTAATGTAATGTAATGTAATG